TTGTCAGAAGCGGCCGGTGCCAGGCGGGACGGGGGGAGGAAAGGGGAGGGGGGGGGGGGGGGAGGGGAGGAGACGGTCCGGGTCACGTGTTGCTCGGCGAAGTAGCGGTTTAATGCAGCGGATGTGTGATCCCTTGGCGGGGGTGGGGATTGGTCGGTGGTGTAGGGATGCGGGTTGAGACCGCTTTAGGACTGTCCTTGTAGCCCCGTCCACAAAACCGTTATAACGCGTGCTTAACGTGTGGTGCGCTGCACTCAAACCCTCCCCACCTGTGTGTGCCAATGAGAGGGCGGGGATCGCCTCACACCGCCATATGTGCCGCGGAGGCGGGTCCGGCCGGCACGACGGCTGGCCGGAGGGGGAGTCCGCGCTGCTGACGTCCGCCCGCCCGGCAGTCAACCGGACGTACCATCTGCAAGCCGAGGACGAGGCCGACCGGGCAGCCTGGATGTCGGTGCTGATGAACTGCAAGGAGGGCGCCCTGCAGAAGGTGTTCGACGAGAACGGACGGCCCACCGACGAGGTAGGCCGCTGTGCCGGCGGCGGCGCCCGCGCCCACCGCTCTCTCTCTCTCTCCAGCCCAACTCCTGCGGCCGGTGGCGGCTGCTGATATGACTGGTTCTTATGTCGGCGATTATTTGATGTCCCCGTGGCCAGTTTTTGTAATGAGTTAAATGGGCTGCCGACGTGCCGACGTGGTCAGCAGCAGTCCGATTGAACATTTGTGGGACAGCCGCGCCACATGGGTCCAGCGTACGATAGTGTGTGTGCGCGCCTGCTGTGCGCCGCACCGGACGGTGGCCGGCGCTGGCCGCGTGGCGCCGCGCTGGTGGCGCCGCCGCTGACGCCCCGCCGACGGCCGGTCGCCAGGTGAGCCAGGGCCTGCGCGAGCTGCAGCAGTCCATAATCAGCGCCGTGCTCCGGCTGCCTGGCAACGACTGCTGCTGCGACTGCGGCTCCAGGAACGGTACGCATCGCCCCTGCCGGCTGGTCCGCCCCGGCACGGCTGGGCTGGGCTGGGCTGGGCTCACCGCTGACGGGTGTGCGGGCGACGCTGCGGACCCTGACCGTCCCGAGGTGGCGACGCTGCGGACCCTGGCCGTCCCGGGATAGCGACGCTGCTGACCCTGACCGCCCTCTGTTGACCCCGACTGTCCCGTGATGACGACGCTGCTGCCCCTGACCGCCCCAGGATAACGACGCTGCTGACCCTGGCCGTCCCGAGATGGCGACATTGCTGACCCTGACCGCCCGGCATGGCGACGCTGCTGACCCTCACCGTCCCGAGATGGCGACGCTGCTGACCCTGACCGCCCCGGCATGGCGACGCTGCTGACCCTGACCGCCCCGGCATGGCGACGCTGCTGACCCTCACCGTCCCGGGATAGCGACGCTGCTGACCCCGACCGCCCTCTGTTGACCCCGGCTGTCCCGTGATGACGACGCTGCTGGCCCTGACCGCCTCGGGGTGGCGATGCTGCGCCGCGTCGAAGGAGAGCCGCTCTGCAGTGCCGCACGCGATGCAGATCCCCGCAGTGCGAGGTCAGTTGTGTGACGCCATGTGACCAGTGACCGGTCGCTCAGCTGTCCGCCGGCCGTTCTCAGATGTGACGTGGCTGTCGACCAACTTCGGCGTCGTGGTGTGCATCGAGTGCTCGGGCATTCACCGCGACCTGGGCGTGCACATCTCGCGCATCCAGTCACTGACGCTCGACCATGTCGGCACCAGCCAGGTCAGCTCAGGCACGGTCACCGTCAACCGTCACCGGCACCACTGTCACGCTCGGTCAGGTCTGGTGGTGTCGCCGTCGGCCGAGGCTGTCACTTCTGCCGGCTCTATTAAGGGCAGGAGGCGTCACTTGGCGCGAGCAATAATCGCTTCCGTGCCAAAGTAGAAAGCCTGCGTTCTAGCCCGCCCAGAATTGACTAACCTCGGCATGCTGGTCAGAGCTCTGATCAGAAAATCGGCGCATCTTACGGCACGCATTTGTAAGCCTCATGCGCATCGTATAGCGGGCTTCACGGTCATACTCATGCCAGGGCGAAGTTAGCGGTCATTTAGGCCGCGGCAGCTTGTGTTTGGGAAAGGCGGTCGGAACGCAGGTGCGACACACGCTCTTCTTGTGGGGAGGGGAGGGGGGGGGGGGGACAGGATCGAGTACCGTGCGGTCGAGCGGCTGTAATCGGCGTCACGCTGTTCTGTACTAGGACCAGGCAGCGACGGACCTTGTCGCTGTTTCGTCCAGCTGAGTGCGGCTCGGTTCGCTGGTATGTCGCGTATTCATGCCAACGGGCGCCAGCTTATATCAGCAAGGATATGTGGAAAGAGCATCGTATTCTCCCTCTTCGCCCGTGAAGCTATCGCTCATTCAAGCGTTGGCTTTCGACCCAAAGTTCAGTCATAACATGACTTTAATTTGCGCGTCTCTGCTACAGCTGCTGTTGGCGAAAGTGATGACCAACAACGGCTTCAACGACATCATGGAGGCGAAGCTGGAGTACCCTAAGAAGCTGAAGCAGACGGCGTCCATGTGAGTGTCGGCTTTTGTGTGGCGGGTGGTCGTAAATATACGGCCTGCCCGCTCTGGACCCGAGCCTCGCCTCACGACTACACGGTCTGCGCTCCACGCCGCCCCTCTGCTCCTGAGTTTTCTGCTTCCACTCTTCTGTTCGGGCAGCGCGGGCAGGGATGTAGTTCGGCAAGTCCCGAAGTCCGGCATACCCATTCGGGACTTTCGACCTTCACGCCAGCATTGCGTGGGCGGGCCCTCACGTCCGCCCCAGCAGAATCAACCGAACCTGTTCTGGCACCACGCTCTGCTCAGTCGTGCGGCTGGTTGCACGTGACGGCGGTCTGTCTTGTCCGCGTGTCTGGCGTGCCCGGGACAGCCGGCCACGATGGGAGACGCCAGTTGGTAAATCAGGACGTTCATGTCACCGCATGTCTCCATTTAGGAATCGAGCCCTCTGTGGCGTCACTCAGCCACGTTATCCACGACTGCACAGACCAGCCGCGCCACCCCAGCAGCTGCACCGCTCTACCCCACCCTAGCAGCTGCGCCGCTCTACCCCACCCTAGCAGCAGCGCCTTCCCGCCCGGTCCCAGCAGCTGTGTCTGTACGGTGCAGCCGCCGCAGCGTGCGGTCGGGCCGGTGCTGACGGCCGCCCCGTCCTGCCTCGCCGCCAGGGAGGACCGCTACGCGTTCATCCGGGCCAAGTACGTGGAGCGCCGCTTCGTGGTGCACTCGACCAGCGACCAGTACGAGCTGCTGCAGGACGTGGAGCTGGCGGTCAGCACGCGCCACCTGTACCAGCTGCTGCAGGCGTGGGCCGAGGGCGCCGAACTGACGGCGCCCATCACCGGCAGTCATCTGCGCGAGACGGCGCTGCACCTGGCCGTCAGACAGGTGCGGCCCAGGGTCAGCAGGGGTACTGGTGCGACCCGGAGTCGGCGGAGGCGCTGGTGCGACCCGGGGTCAGCGGGGGCGCTGGTGCGGCCCGGGGTCAGCATCCAGGGGGAAGCGCTGGTGTGACCCGGGGTCAGCGGGGGCGCTGGTGTGGCCCAGGGGTTAGTGGGGCGCTGGTGCCAGCAGGGGACATTGGAGCCAGTGGGGACACTGTGCCAGTGGGGGCACTGGAGCCAGCGAGGACGCTGGAGCCAGCGGGGACGCTGATTTCACTGAGGGTGGTAATGCACATCTCTCATCGCACCTAATGCTAGCTACAAATGTTTGGGTCCGGAGAGAACCCTGTCGTTCCTTGTCAAGGACGTGTGCCTGATGCCTACACCTGGACCCTGCTCTCATAGGCAAACGCCGTCCACTGGTGTAGCAGCCTGTAACGTCACATATGTGTATCAGACGCGTGACTGATGGACGTGGTTGCATTGAAATGTGGAACAGAAGTATCAACCGACTCAGCCCATGGAGACATCTAGGGCGTGGCAGTTATGCATTTAGGTATGCTCATATTGCAGTTATTTGCAAGTCATGCGGTCGAAAATATCGTCGTCGATCACGTAATCCATACGCGATCAAGAGCTGCCCATTTGCCGGACATGCGCGACGGTTATCAGCTGTTGGATTGCTTGAGTAAACCATGTTGACGGTCGTGCCTGCAGGGCGAGCCAGGGATGGGCCTCCGCAGCGACGTAACTTATGAGGAAGGTTATTTTTCATTACGTGAACAAGCTCAGATTCGGGATCACCGGATTGGGTGCCCACTTTGCAGTGAAGTGCTGGGAGCGTAGAAGTCCAACTACGATTGGTTTGTAGACCGCGACGCTGTGACAATAACAAAATGCATCGGCCGGGAATCGAACCCGGGCCGCCCGCGTGGCAGGCGAGCATTCTACCACTGAACCACCGATGCCTGGGGAGGGGCGCAGATTGAGACCTAAGATTGGCTCTGCGATCTTGCTCTGAGGCAAGCAGTGCCACATTGCTTTAGAAAATGTGTTGTGCCTGCCACCCATGTTCCGAAATCACATGATGGCATATTGCCACGCTGGCTGGTACCAGTGCGCCTAGTTCTCAAGCTATCAAAGGTGCTAGTGGTGCGGCGATTTGGCTGATTGGGCGGGCAGCGGCGTGACGCCTGTTGCGCCCGATTGGTCAGGATTGCCAATCGACGTGCTCGGCGCGCCTGGATCGATCGAAAGCCGAGTGATGTGTGGTCATGCCTCACGGGTCCGGACGGCCGAATGACGTCTTGTGGCCTATGATTAGTCGGGACAACTGGGTGACGTATCCGTCGTCCCTGATTGGTCGGGGAAACCTGGTGATGTGTCTCGGCGAGCTTGATTGGTCGAGACAGCCGGGTAACGTATCTCGTCACTTCTGATTGGTCGGGCAGTTGGGTGATGTGTCTTGGTGCTCCGCATGGACAAGGAAGCCGGGTGACATGTCTCTGCACCTGTTTGGTCGGGGCAGTGGGTCGATGTTTCTCTTCGACGCAGATAAAGGTCTCATGCATAAGAAGTGTAACAAAGAAATCCTTCCGATAGGAGTGCTACGAAATTATTTCTACTGCCAACACTAATACACTCCATTAGTGCCGCGCGACAAAACTGATGGCGCAAAAGCAAATATTCGTCAACATTCCTACTGCAAACACTCATGAAGTATTTACCTATGCTCGACATTAACCCCACTACAAAAGGTTATATGCGACCTAAGTGCTACAGTTACGGCTTGTGGTCAAGTCTTTGCGGTAGAGGTAATGTCTGATATATGTTTTTTCAGTTTAAGCTTTGTCGTGTAGTACTGATGTCGTGTATGAGTTTTTACAGTCGAAGAAGTGTAGCGCATAAGTGAGGACTATATAGGTCTTTGCTGTTAAGTAATGACGAGTATACGTGTTTGCATTATACGTTCTGTCGTGTAAGCCCATGTTGTGTATGAGTCTTCAATAGAAGTAACGTCGCGTACAAGTCAAGTCTGTACACGTTTTTGCAGTAGAAGTAATCACGCGTGTAAGTGATCGCAGCACTCCTGCCGGTACAAGTTTTTGCCGTAGCGCTGATGTCGTGACAACGCTGATTGGTCTGGATAACCGGGTGCCGCGTCTCGGCGTGTCTAGGACAGCCGGGTGACGGTCCCCGCTCCGCTGGCAGGAGGTCGACGGCAGCTCGTTGCATATCGTCGACTTCCTGGTGCAAAACACCGACTCACTCAACACGCAGACAGCGGAGGGCAACGCGGTGCTGCACTACTGCGCCATCCACAACCGGCCCGAGTGCATGAGGCTTCTGCTGCGTGCCGGCGCCGACCCGCGGCTGGTCAACAACAACGGCAAGACGCCGCGCGACATCGCCGAGGAGCGCGGCTACGCGCTCTGCCGAGAACTGGTGCGTTCCAGGCGGGGGCGGGGGTAGGGGAAAGGCAGCTTCCGGTGAGATGTTATGTGCACTCAGGGATGTTGCACGTACCTGGGAGAAATGCTGTGTATCCAGGGTGGCTGTGTGCAATATGTGCATCGATGTAGGCGAAAAGGTGGGTTTTGTATGTGCTAGAGGTACTGTGTATTCATAGAGGTGTTGTGTACCCAGAGAGGTGGTAGATTTTCATAGAGGTGGTGTGTATCTTTCCAGGTGATGCATATGCTTGGAGATGTCATTTTTCCAGCTACACTGTATATCCCTGGATAGATTTTGTGTGCCCAGGCAGGTAGTGTTAATCCTTAGACTTGTGTGTATCCAAGTAAGATGTGAGTATACAGGCTGGTGATGTGTATCCATGAAGATAGTGTGTGTCCAGAGAGGTAGTGGGTGTCCAGGGAGGTGTTGTGTACAAGGTGTGTATTGAAGTAGGCAGCATGTATCCAGGGATGTGGTGCATATCCATGAAGGTGGTGTGTATCCAGGGAGATGATGTGTATCCATGAAGATGCTGTGCACTGGAGAGGTGGTGTGTATCCATACAAATGGGCATACCAGGTTATGTGGTGTGCATCCAGTGAGGTGGTGTGTATCAAGGCAGGTATGGTTTGTACCCACAGGAAGCTGGTGCATGCCTGGTGAGCTGCCTTTTGCTCAAGGAAGATGTGTTTTATTATGGGGTTTATGGAGAAGGAAGGGGATGGGAGGGGGTTTCAAGAACTCTTCTCCTTAAAAGTAGCTATTATTGCTTTTTTATATTTAAGGAAGGCTGTTTGATGTTTTAGTTTCTGCATAGAAGAATCATCAGCAAATTTGGGGGAGACAACATGACGCCTGAAGAGGCACGAATTCTGCAACCAGGGCTGAAAGAGAAAGTGGCAAGCATCCACCAAGTGCTGCGTCGCTTTGCACGTATAAAACGTGTGTGTTATAAGCCAGAGGTGTTCGTGCGTCGCCGGTGCTGCATCGTTGTGGTGCAGACATTGTCCTGCGCAGTGACGGGTGCGAGGCGCCCGCCAACGACGTTGGGTCAACTGAGAGCCGACGGACACCCGCGCCTCCCGCAGCTGGAACACGCCCTGGCCGGCAAGAAGTCCGCGTTCGAGAACGTCAACGTGGACAGCTGGAACCTGAGCAACTACGACGACGGCAGCACGGACTTCTCGGACGACGACACCACGGTGGTGGAGGACCGGCACCAGGTGAGGTGGAGGCCAGGTGTCTCACTTCCGCTATGAATTGTGGAAGGTAGCGTGGGCTTGCGCTAAGGGATAACCAGGTATAATCAGTCAGTAGTCATATGTACCGAAATAGTAGAAACGGCCGCGAAATAGTAGAAACGGCAGCTGTCAGCCACGAAGCCATACCCACGAAGCGGGTTCAGTTTCAACAGCAACACGTTAAGCAGCACGCTCATGGCGCAGCTACGGCCGCGCTGCCAGGCGTTGGATGGAGCAGCTCCAAAGTTTCTACAAATGCTGTGGCCCTAAGCTTCCCTGCTGTATGTTGTTTTTTTTACATCCGCTTTGCATGATGTTAACTAGCGATATTTTTGGGATGTGGTGATATGTACCCTTGTCGCAAACCCAGGATGGGAACGATTGGTTGCGAGGCCGTTCTGGTTGGTTGAGGTGTTGAATAGGGTGATGTGAGAATGAAATGGTGATTGGACAAAATGCATCGGCCGGGAATCGAACCCGGGCCGCCCGCGTGGCAGGCGAGCATTCTACCACTGAACCACCGATGCTTGAGCGAGGGGGCCGCTAGGGCTGTTAACATCCAAGGTTGTATGTCCGTCGGGCCTGCTTGGATTTGTATTGCGTTACCGCGATTGGTACGATTGTTTTGTATATGTAAAGGCGGGAGTAATCTAGCCCCTGTTGTAAACAAAACCTTGGTATGAGACCTATAAGCATATGCGAGATTCATTGGGTTGAAACCACTTCTTCAAATTTTCCAGAAGAGATTTGCATCGATGTCCACTAAGGATGGTTTCTCAGTTGGTGAACGCACAGTGGATTCTATACCGAGGCCGATGTCAGCCATCATGTTACTAGGATACCCTCAGCGCCATGGCACGTCGCACTGCGCCGTGCGGGCCAAGGCAGGGAGAGCGAGGTCCGACAACGTGCTGTGTCTGGTGCGCGCGTGACCCTGACCTGCGTCTGTGACCCGTGTGTGCAGGTGCGGTCGTCGACAGACAGTCTGCGGTCCAGTCCGAGCACAGGGCGTCGGCCGGACGCCGCGCGCCGCCCCGCCCACGCCAAGCGGCCCCGGCCAGGTCAGAGCCGCTGAGGGGCGGCCCGTGGTTGGCTGCGATTTTAGTTCTTCTGTGTAGCTGCCATCCGGACGCGTCCTTTTGTATCTGGGGATGAACGGAATGCTCATGACTTGAAGATTCAGTAGTTGTTGTATTCTAACCCAGGATGTATTTATTTTCTCATAAAGAAAATCGTTGCGTTCTGGAGTGTAAGCTGACCTCAACAATAAAGTCGATGCAAGAACGCAACTTAGAACGGGGGTGGGGGAAGGCAAAGTTCCATTATGCTCGGATTTTTCGTTTTTTCTTTAGAGAGTTCCGATAGAAAGTTAAAAAGCAGCGTGATGCGTATTGACCGGGTTCCGGGTGCCTAAGCCGGCTGCGCCCCCGCATAGGGACGCCTGCTATGGTTCGTTGGGCGACCGGCCGTCGCCAGCGTGACCCCATGTACCGTCGCCTATCTCGGATGCCACCCGGCCACAGTGTCACGGGACGAGGCGTGTGCCGACCGGTGCCGTCCGTCGGCAGTGGCGGGCGTGCGGGCGGCGGGCGGCCTGCAGCGGCCGCGCGCGCCGCCGCCACCGGCGCCGGCCACCGGCCCCGGCCCGCTGCGGCTGGCCAACGGCCGCTCCACCGAGAGTCTGTCGAGCGTCGTGTCCGACACGGCCGAGCACGGCCGCCACCGCCGGCAGGTACGACCGACGCCCGGCGCTGGGCTGGCCGCCGCCGCTGCTGGGCCGCAGTCACCGGCTCCTCGCGGCGCGCCGGTTCGCCAGGCGACGCGCCGTCGCGTGCTGTGTCTGTGTCGCGGGACGGGCGGCGCCAAAGCGCGTTTTACTGGAGGACTAAAACGAACAAAAAAATTGCTGCTGGTCTTGAAAACGCCAACTGCGAGTGCGATACGGCATACATGCTATGGTAGCAATCAGTGTCTAAGCGCGTCTTTATTCTCATGCGGGACATGCTTTGTGATGTGCGTGACGTGAATATTACGTGACCATGTTTGCTTGGTCAGAACCCGTTTCACGGGTTTTGAGCCGGATTTCGGTTGATAGCATGACCAGACCTTTGTGATGCACGCATGCGTAGCCTGTGTGCCGGCGTGTTTTGTGGTGGCGTGTCCCGTGTCCCGGAGAGAGCGAGGCACGGGGTGGCGTGCCCCTCGTACCGGAGAGATCGAGACACGTGGTGGCGTGCCCCTCGTCCCGGAGAGAGCAGGGCACGTGGTGGCGTGTCCCTCGTCCCGGAGAGATCGAGACACGTGGTGGCGTGTGTTGTGTCCCGGAGAGAGCAGGGCACGTGGTGGCGTGTCCCTTGTCCCGGAGAGAGCAGGGCACGTGGTGGCGTGTCCCTTGTCCCGGAGAGAGCAGGGCATGTGGTGGCGTGTGTTGTGTCCCGGAGAGAGTGAGGCGCGTGGTGGCGTGTGTTGTGTCCCGGAGAGAGTGAGGCACGTGGTGGCGTGTGTTGTGTCCCGGAGAGAGCAGGGCATGTGGTGGCGTGTCCCTTGTCCCGGAGAGAGCAGGGCATGTGGTGGCGTGCCCTTGTCCCGGAGAGAGCAGGGCACGTGGTGGCGTGTCCCTTGTCCCGGAGAGAGTGAGGCACGTGGTGGCGTGTGTTGTGTCCCGGAGAGAGTGAGGCGCGTGGTGGCGTGTGTTGTGTCCCGGAGAGAGTGAAGCGCGGTGCGTGTCCCTTGTACCGGAGAGAGTGAGGCACGTGTGGCGTGTGTTGTGTCCCGGAGAGAGTGAGGCGCGTGGTGGCGTGCCCCTTGTCCCGGAGAGAGTGAGGCGCGTGGTGGCGTGTCCTGTGTCCCGGAGAGAGTGAGGCGCGTGGTGGCGTGTCCTGTGTCCCGGAGAGAGCGAGGCACGTGGTGGCGTGTCCTGTGTCCCGGAGAGAGTGAGGCGCGTGGTGGCGTGTCCTGTGTCCCGGAGAGAGTGAGGCGCGTGGTGGCGTGTCCTGTGTCCCGGAGAGAGTGAGGCGCGTGGTGGCGTGTGTTGTGTCCCGGAGAGAGTGAGGCGCGTGGTGGCGTGTCCTGTGTCCCGGAGAGAGTGAGGCGCGTGGTGGCGTGCCCCTTGTCCCGGAGAGAGTGAGGCGCGTGGTGGCGTGTCCTGTGTCCCGGAGAGAGTGAGGCGCGTGGTGGCGTGTGTTGTGTCCCGGAGAGAGTGAGGCGCGTGGTGGCGTGTGTTGTGTCCCGGAGAGAGTGAGGCACGTGGTGGCGTGTCGCGCATGGGACGAGGGCGGGTCTGACGGCCCCTCTGTCGACAGAGGACCGATTCGTACCGGCCGCGCCGCTGTCGTGCCATGTACGACTGCGAGGCCGACAACGACGACGAGCTGACGTTCGCCGAGGGAGAGGTAGGCGAGCGGGCTGGGCCGGCGTGCGGCGGAGGCGGCGCCGCGCCGCGTCTCGCCGCCGCCCGTGGCGTCCAGGCCTCGTTCCGAGACGGCGAACGGGTGCTCGTGCTCAGCTGTGGTTCTGCTGGGTGGGAGAATGTGGACGCTGAAATTGTGCATCCCAAACTATGTCCTTTTGTGGCTATGTATCTACCTCTGACTTCTAGCTAACTCCGTATTGAATAGGGAGGTTACATGGATTATCCATAGATGTGTTGTCCAGAGGTGTAGAACGTGCTGCGTGCTTCTGCGTGAATTAGAGGCCGATCAGAGGAATACGAAACATGCCGTGCTTTTGTGGCTTTTGTGGTACACATGTACTCGAAGGACACGTTTATGAACTAAAAGTGTGCCGTCATTTGCATGCTCAGAGGCTCGAGTAAATGTTGTGGTGATCTAGAGTTCTGTCGCCGCGTTCGCAGATTATAATCATCCTGGCGGAGAGTACGGACGACGAAGACTGGATGGAAGGCTGCATCGAGGCCCAGCCACACCGGCGCGGCATGTTCCCCATGTCGTTCGTGTACATGCTGAACGACTGACCGAGGGCAATACCTCGCGGGCGGCGCCGGAACTTTGAGTACACATGAATGACGCCAGCTGTCGCGGGTGAACCGAGAACATGGTCGCCGCTATTCGAGCAACTCGTGTTGTATGGACTATTTTGTAACTAGCTTGCGTAAGCTCCAGTTAGCAGCTGTCGGCTGCAGCGCGCCTGAGTCTGGCTGGTTCCTGAGATGCCCTGATACGCGCGGGATCTGGCGGCGGCGCGCGGGCGACAGCGGCCAGTGGCAAGACAGGCTGCTGCCCATCAGGTGCCCCACGAAGTGTGGGGTCGTGCTGGTCGCCGACCCGCGCGCGGCGAGTCGACGTGAGCCCCTGTCTGTGTCCGCGTACAAAGGGCAGTGGGGTCAACTATGATTGTTACGAGCTGGTATTTTCAAACAGTCCCATTCGCTTTATTTTATGGAAGTTGCCTGGACTGACAACTGTTCAAAACTTAATTATTAGCCTAGTTGAAGGATAGCGGTAGAGTATTTACATTGCCGATCGCACTGTTGCATGTGCTTGCCCGTCGCGAAGTTCCTCTGTGCGGTGTGGCCTCCGTTGTTTCCGTGGCGAAGTTGTCGCTGTGGGAGGGTTCAGTTGTGTAGTCTGCTACTCCCTACCCCATCCAGTACCATTCCAGGGCGCTGGCGGACGCCGCCCGTCTGCTGTGTGCGTGCTGCCGGGTGTCCGTCTGGCCAGGCGGCTCAGTTGTGCTTCCTGGCATGCTCACGTGGTGTGGTGCCGCCTGCTGGCCGGCCGCTCCCTGGCGGCGCCGCTGACGCGCCGACCGCAGCCGGCCGGCGTGGGGCGCCGCCTGGCTCGCGCGTCCATGTGGCCGTCGCCCTGTTTCCATGGCGTGTTTATTTATTCCTGTGTATGCGTTGTTGACGGCTGCTGCGTATGCGATCGCGAATCAGCTGTTGACCCTGCGGCTCGGCGCTGGACTGTGTCGGCTCGGTCCGGCCTCTTGATACTCTTTTCGTGTGGTCGAGCGCGTGCGTGCTGCTGGTTAATGTCTGTGGGCGTGCGCGAGCCTCGCCAGTGCTCTCTCGCCCAGCCCTAGCCAGTCCGCTTGACCCCAGTGTCCCACTTTCCCCTGTGTCAGTCCCAGACGGGCACTTTCCGGCGCAAGTGAGCGATTCTAAACACCAGAAGGTGCGCGCATGTTGGTGGTATGTCTGAGCGAAAGCATAATACAAGGAGGCGATTAATGCAGAGCGTCTTCGTCAAGAAGGATAGTTGGATGGATATGAAGTTGGTACTAGCAGCCCGCCTGGAAAACAACATGATTATGGCACTGGGGCCTCGCGCATTATTTCAAGTGCTATCGCCTGCAGGGAAAACTTCCCCTGGGTTCTTAACATTTGTTGCATTTATCCTTACTCGGGCACGGCCGCTAAATCGGAGTATTCTGCTACGTCACTTAGCACGATTAGCGGAAGATATAAGGGGGTGTTATGTGGTGGTGGTGACATTCATCATCAATCATCACTTCACCATTCACCCTTAACGCAAAATGACGGCGTTAATAGGAATTGCATAAGTCCAAGGATGCACCCTCCCCGGCATGTTTCGTCGCCGCTGTTTGCACGTCTTATTGATCGGCCAGATCCAAGACAGGAGTCATCTACATAATCAGCCCGCCACACATAGTGGTCTCGCTTATCATTGGCTTCCTTGCACCATACGTCATGTAGCGATTGAAATAGTGTTAACTTTGTTCAGCCCCCTTGGGCCGAGTCAACGCCGCACCGAGAGCGAGATGGAACTTGCTTGGTTGCTTGGATTGGAACGCTTGGCGAGAAGAGTAGATAACGAATGAGAGGAGAGTAGATAACGATTGGCAAAGACATGACCATACGTTCCCAGGAACCGATACACCGAGGTTTTGCTCGGGCTATGTACTCGGCGCTCGGACGGAGGCCCCACCAGGGCATGGTAACTCACCAGGGGATACTTGGGCCCAGTAATCGCTGAAGCATGCACCCTGCACCGGACATGGACAAAAATGGCGTCGTAAGGATGCAGGATATAACGAGAAATTGGATAAGGGGGCGGTGGTGATGAAACTAATTTGTAAATATGGTGGTTGCGTATTATCAAATCGTAAAACGCAACCAGGTGTAAAAGTGGCGCTCTTGCGACATTACCCGAGAGGTTTTCCGTACCTTCCGCAGAACCTCGGCACTGTGGTATCGGCGGGTCACGTTTCCGTGGCGGGCGTTTGATGCAGGTAATAATAACACGCGCATGCGGCTCCAAATAAAAATATAAGAATTTGATTTGCGGGGAAGGGGTGTTTTAGAGAAGCTGAAAGAGAAGAGTGAGCTTACCCTTGTATTACTCTGCTTGGGAAAGAGTGGCACCTGAAGTCCTGTAAAGTCGCTTTGGGTTTTCCTTGGTCAAGCTGATGCCGTAATCTCAGCACAGAAGCTACTTGCCATCCTACATTTTACGTAATTCATTCGTGTCGCTTGCTGCCAGATTCAATACCATTTGGTGAATCAACACAATTTATGGCTTGCTTCTGTGTTGCAGGTTTTTCTGTAGAAACTGATTGAAACTGGCATTTATTGTTTAATTTTGGACATATGCTGAAATTTTGGCCACATCTGGTTTAAATTTCAGCTCATGGAGTCATGTCTGCTGTATGGGACATGGTCAGTGTAATGTTTATTTTTGCAGCCTGGATGACTGATTTTGATTTTCCCATCCAGAGAACACTTACAAGTAAAACACTTCACCACCAGCAGATGTGTGATTTGAATGCATATACCTGGTGCTGGTACCATCCCAGTACCATGCTAGAAGCATTGAGTACAAGGCTAGAGTTATCAATATTTTGCCAGCATGACTAATAGCCCAGTACTGATACTGGTACCCAGCTGTGCTAAATGATTGAAGGAGTTGTGGAAGATATGTTCTTGTCTCATTGTTTGCATGCAATGAGCAGGTTTTTTATATCTCCTGAAGGATGAGGAGCAGATGCTTCTTATACAAGGAACCAGGTGTCAATACATTCAACATGCTCAACATTTGCTGGTCACCACAAGGCCTTTAGCATTGGGAGCTGAGGCAACTGTGCTATACTGCCACTACTGATTTGCTACTGACTGCAGTAACTATACACAAATTCTTGTAGATGTAGCATTGCATCTTGCACCTGATAATAATCACAATGTTATTTGCTACCAGCCAGTCCAGAACTTCAGGTCTCTGACTGAAACCATCCTTTTGGGGATTACAAACTTTGAAGTGAGAGCTGTGCTTAGACTATGGTTTTGCAAAGGTACCTGCTCTTGATTTACAGAAACTTTGAATTCAGGATTTGTCACATCTGTGGTCCAGGGGAACGATGCTGAACTTGTAATCCAGCGGCACTGGGTACAAGCCCCAGAGCGGGTGCATTGTTTGGCCGGACTGAAATGGAAAGGTCAGCTGACAAATGGCCAAGATGGTCAGCCCTGTCTGGGGGCCGCCGTGTCGCAGCATTGTGCAGCATATAAAACCCTCTGCAGTCCTGTCTAGTGCAAGGGCGGAGGCAAAGTTATTTGTTGAACTGGATGGTGGGACTTGGGTGGTGGGTTCGGAGTACGTGCAACAAGCTATGCTTAGGAGGTACTATGGACCCAGAGTCACCCATGCAAACCATTTGGAATAAGTTTTAATAAAATAATGCCTCATCTTGGCACATACTGTATCTCAGGCACATGGGACAAAGAGTCTGGTCAACCTGGAGGCTTTGTGCTTTTCAGACTGGCTAGTCAGCTGATATATTCCAGCTTTTACATTGCTTTGACCTTTAATTAGATGAACCTAGACCCTAAGATTTTTTGAGATATGTTTAAGAAGAGAATCAATATGCTCTTATGAATCACAGTTAATTCTAGGCTTTTGCCATGGTCAGACTTTTTAAAGACATGTTATGCTGCCATAGCTGGAACTTTGGTCTGATTCTGCCTCTAGAGAGCAATTCTGGTTTCAATTTGTGATGCATAAGACTAGTTGTCACACAAATCCCAGTCAGCATGTTGCAAGTGTAACTTGAATTAATCACCTGTCTCAGCAAATGTCAAGGAATGGCTTGTAGGCCCCACTTTGGTGCCGCACTTTATTGTTGTATGTCTGCTTTACCAGTGTTGTGCTTTGTGCAAATGCCTGAACTGATTTCAAGGCTACAAGTTGATGAGAAAGTATGGAGTTTGAGATTGAACTCTGAGGAATGTCACCATCTACCTGGACCCAAATGGAGACTTCACTGTCTGTGTGTGCTCATTATCACCTATGTGTCAAGAAGATGCATCTTGAAAAAAATTGAAGGTTGAGCCACAGCTGTGTTAGAAAATATATATGCTATAGTCACACATACATTTCCTTGCTATGGTTTTTATGGGTAACTATTTTTTAGGCTCACGAAATGAACAGCATGTGACCATGAGATATATATTTACTGGCCTTAATACTATGGTTAACTGTTCATTTTTTGCAGACTCACTAAATGAACGGCACTGAGGTGGGTACAAGCACCAATACTTCGAGCATTCAAGAGGCCCGTGCGGACCTGCGGGTGTCTTTCTTGGAGTCGCTGTCTGCACTGAAAGGTAAGCAAATGCGTGTGGCAGATAACGACCACCAATTCCCAGTGTTACTCCCTGCACATGGTTGCGTTTTCTCAGCTGTGGGGTCTCCCTGTCCAGCAGAGGCGACTGAGACTGAGCGTCACCCGCGCCGCCATGCCGCCAGGTCTCGAGGCCGAGTTTCGTCTGCACGAGGGCACGCGGGTGTTCGGTCGCCTGGAGGCGTTCGACCGGGACGTGTTGCTGCTGCACGTGACCGACCTGCGCACTCCACTGGCCACCTACGGCCGCGCCACGCTGCGTGCCACAGACGTGGTCAGCATGCGCGTCCAGCTCCCGACGGACAAGTCCGCCTGAGGTGGGTGCCTGCGGGCCCGCGGGCGGGCCGGCCTGCGTACGGGCGGGCGGGCGAACGAGCGTGCCTGCGTACGGGCGGCCGGGCGAATGGGCGGGCTTGCGGACAGGCGGCCGGGCGATTGGGCGCGCTTGCGTACAGGCGGGCGGGCGGGCGAACGGGCGCGCCTGCGTACGGGCGGCCGGGCGAATGGGCGCGCTTACGTACAGGCGGGCGGGCGGGCGAACGGGCGCGCCGGCGTACGGGTGGGCGTGCTTGCGAGTCCGTGTTGTGACGGTGTACTGGCTGTCGTGTGCAGTGTTTTATTACTGCTCGGCATAGCCGGTGTAGCGGTGCCTTGGGCCCTTGTAATCAACGTTAGGCACAAGGGCGCCGGTGCGCTGGAGGTAAGTCGAGTCTAGGTGCGCGGGAACGTGTGGGAATGCTGGCGGCATTTCTGGCTGGGATGACTGTCGTTGGAGCCCTGGGACCATGTCGCGGACTCTGGGCTGTGTTTCAGAGCCTGGTGAGTCATGTCCCTGCTGGAAGAGGAGGTCCACCGCCCGCCTCCTGCCGTATCAGCTCCGTACTCATCCAAGGTGTTCGCTGCCGTCATCGAGGGAAAACACATCGACTTTGCCCTGTCCACTTTTGGGTGAGTGACCCGTCTCCACGTCAGGTGGCTTGTGCTCTGTAAAAGACTACTAGCTATCGTGATACTGTATGTTTTTGCTTGTTTGATATAAAAAGTCTTTGTCTGCTCTCAAGTGTAAAATCAGTTCAGTGCATTATAGAACAGCATGCATTCGGCATAGATAGTCGATCGAAGTGTAGCAATTACCCATAAAATGTTGAAACAACTGTGTCACACTTGAGGCTAAGGTTGACTTGGCTCCGGCATGTCATTGTTTTGCAAGCTACGCATACTGCTTGCAGAGAAACGGATTTCCTGTGCATCACCGAGTATCAGAAGATCGGAACCGTGGTCCATGTGGAGATTGAGTCGTCGCAGGTAGTGGAAGGTCCGAACAAGATATACAGCATCAGGTGTGTGCATCAGGTGCATCCATGTAAACCCTTTTGCGCCTTTATGACAGCCGTTTCAGTATCTTCTTTTGATGTTCTTAGCCGTGCAAATGTAGCCCGTGAGAATGTGCGATGTGCTGGCAGCCGGCTGTCTACGGCCGATGGCCCGTCACCGGCGGCCAGGTAGTCGCCGTCGGCAGCCCCCCCCCCCCCCCCCCAACCGATCCTGGCCGTTCGATCGGTACAGCGGCCGGTCAGCCGCCGTTGGCAGCGATGTCCCCGAACGGTCCTCGCCGTTCGGTCTGTACGCCGGCCGGCTAGATGCGGTGCCGGTTTCGCGTCCCCAGGGTGCCGCTCGGTGAGGACTCCCACGTTACCGACCTCGCGTCCCCAGGGTGCCGCTCGGTGAGGACTCCCACGTTACCGACCTCGCGTCCCCAGGGTGCCGCTCGGTGAGGACTCCCACGTTACCGACCTCGCGTCCCCAGGGTGCCGCTCGGTGAGGGCTCCCACGTTACCGACCTCGCGTCCCCAGGGTGCCGCTCGGTGAGGACTCCCACGTTACCGACCTCGCGTCCCCAGGGTGCCGCTCGGTGAGGGCTCCCACGTTACCGACCTCGCGTCCCCAGAGTGCTGCTCGGTGAGGACTCGGAGACGGTGAGGGCTGCTGCCCGCTTCCTGGCCGAACAGCTGGGTACGCGCAAACAGCTGATCGTCACACTGGCTCTGCGGGAGCTGCGGCCGACGCTGCTCAAGCAAATGGTGCCGGTTGTCAAGGAGCAGCGCGACTAGTCGCACCTGACAAGTCAGTTTGCCGGCCGGTCGGAGCATGCGCAGGCACTCGGGCTGGAGACGCCGCCGCCTGGCGGAGCAGTTAAGGGTGCCGGTAGTATAGTGGTTAACGCGTCTGCGTTAGCCACTGCGCGTCTGGGAAACCAGAGGTACGGGGTTCGATTCCCCGCGGTGCCTGCCCTTTTTGCCGAGGTGAGAGGCAGGGGACGCCATATAGCCTCAGCAGCTGAGTGCGTCGTAAAGCCCCAATGACACACACTGGCGGAGCAGTGTCGAACGAACCTCGTCACTGTAGTGTGCTGGGCGCCATATGACGCGACGTAGTCGGTGCGCCCCGAAGTTCAAATCACCATCATCGTAGTGTAGTCACTGTAGTATGCACTCCGGAGTGGACACGTGCCGCACGGCCACATCCATCGAAAGGAAAACGCACTGCCTACATTCTCGCACAATATAGTCTGCATGATGTATAGCGTGATTTGGCTCAGCGTCGGCCAATGGCCTATTTTATGTTTCGCCTATGTACGGGCCGTTTGGTATGGCATGTTAAGTCATTCGTTCCTTCTGTGTCGTCCTCCTTCCCCCTCCCGCCCCAGTTTAGTGTCAGCACGTCCTGTCTGTCCGCCGAGATGCCCATCAGCCTGTCACGGCGCCCTGTCACGGCGCGCGTCTCTCCGGCCAGATGGCGGCGCCGGTGCGGTTCGGCCAGGCGGTGGTGGGGCCGCCGGGCTCTGGCAAGAGCACCTACTGCGGCGGCATGCAGGAGTTCCTGCGCGCCGCCGGCCGCCAGGTGGCCGTGGTGAACCTGGACCCGGCCAACGACGCGCTGCCGTTCGCCGCCGACGTCGACCTGGCCGAGCTGGTGACGGTGGCGGACGTCATGCAGACGCTGGCGCTCGGTCCCAACGGCGCGCTTCTCTACTGCATGGAGTACCTGGAGAAGAACGTGGACTGGCTGCTGAAGAAGCTGCGCCCGCTCCACGACAAATACATCCTGTTCGACTTCCCCGGACAGGTGGGAGCTGGCGCGGCCGAGGTCGGGACTGTATCGGCCGCTCACTGGCATCTTCACCCGTCTGGAGTCGTGTACCAAGTCACCATGACAGACACACATTTTCCATATAGCTGGTGCGGTAACCCAAAGAGGTGTCGATTGCCGGTGTCTCAGCGTGTATCTCTCGCTGGCCAGTGTGACTGCTTCAGCAGGGCACTGCCAGCGTGGTGATGTCTTGACTTTGCCAGCTGGTCTGCCTGGTGCGTGTAGATAATCGTACAGCAGCGGTGTCCGTGTATCGCCGGTGTTGGGCAGCTGGTTCGTGTGTGGGCGGCGGGCTGTGACACGCCGCCACCGCGTCGGCACCGCCAGGTGGAGCTGTACACGCACAACGCGGCCGTGCCACGCCTGCTGCGCCGGCTGGAGCGGGAGAACCTCCGACTCACCGCCGTCAACCTGGTGGACTCGCACTACTGCAGCGACCCGGGTGCGTGGGGCGTCCCCAGCGGCGCCAGCCCCAGTGCACGCGCCAGCGCTGGCGGCAGCTGGGCTCGGTACGCTGCGGGCGTGCTGGCAGCTGTCGGGAGGTTTGCTGACGCCACGCTGCTGCACGTGCGGCCTGGTTTGTTTTAAGGCGCGCCGAACTGCTGTGGTCATTGGCGGTGTTGTGTTCGCGTCGGCCGCAACAGAGGGAACCGAGGTGCACTCGCGGTAACGAGCCCGCAGCCTTCGCTCCAGTGACGGCACGTCGACCCAAGTCGACGGCCATCCGCGTGCTACAATATCATCACAAGCATTTTTAAGTTTTTTTTTTGTAAATGCCGTTGTTGCATTGACCGTTGTTGTTGACCATTGACTATTGTTGCATTGACATGAAGTTGCATCAACCGCTCTTGTTCGACTCTAGAATGTGGAACGCTTCCTCGATGGTTTGTTGAAACGCACAAATTGAAAACTGCTCTCGGACGGGCCGGTTTGTCCGCAGGAAAGTTCGTATCCGTGCTGTTAACCACGCTGTCCACCATGCTTCACCTGGAACTTCCACACATCAACGTTCTCTCCAAAATCGACCTGGCCGAGAAGTTTGGAAAGCTGCACTTTGGCCTGGATTTCTACACGGAGGTTCGTTTGCGTGGTCTGTCTCTCTGCGTGGTGAGACAGCAATATGCGCGTGATCCAGCTTCCCTGGTATGGCACCGAATCCCCGCCTGATTCGCCTCTGCACAGCTTCACGCTGACCCAGTACCGTTCTGCTCTAGTGGAACACCGTTCATCTCATCATGTGACGTATTTGAGCTGCCTCTGGGCGTGTGATTCAGCGCGTCGACGCCGGCCGTCGGGGCCGTGTGCCGTCCGGCGTCGAGCTCGGCCCGACAGCCGCCCGCCCCGCCGCCGGCCGGCGGGGCCGTGTGCCGTCCGGCGTCGAGCTCGGCCCGACCGCCGCCCGCCCCGCCGCCAGGTGATGGACCTGGAACGGTTGACTGAGCTCCTCGACGACGACCCGTTCACCAAGAAGTACCGGCGCCTCACCGAACGCATCACCGGGCTCGTGCAGGACTACGGCCTCGTCTCGTTCGCGCCGCTCAATGTCGCTGACAAGCACACCATGCACCGACTCGTGCGCCTGATCGACAAGGCCAACGGCTACGTGTTCGGCGCCGGCGAGGAGCGCTCCATCCAGAGCCTGCTGGCGTGCGCGGTCGGCGCCGAGTTCCAGGACGACGTGGTGGGCGCCGCGGCCGAACGCTACCTCGACGCCGACCGGGAAGACATGGAGCCGTGAGGGCGGTGCGGGCGAGGACTGCCGCGGACCGACGACGCGCCGGCGCTCCGTTGTGAGCGGCGCCTCGGCGCGGGCCGCAGCGCGCAGACCCGTGCCAGCCAGCGGGGCTGTGTGTGCCGGAGAGTGCTGCTGTCCAGGCCTGCCCGAGGTGAAGCGCCGGGTTGTGATGTGTGGGGGGGGGGGGGGGGGGGGGGGGAATTGGCGATTTTCACCGCCGGTTGGCGACTCTCGCCGCCGGTTGGCGGCTGTCACCACCGGGTCGCGGCCGGTGCCGGATTGTGATGAGGGGCGGCGCTGGTTGGCGGCTCTCGCCGCCGGCCGCGGCCGGTCGCTGTGCCGGGCTGTGCGGCGATGTGGCCGAAGTGGCCGCCGGTCGTCCTCCTCACGCGGAGGCCGTCGCGTAGCGGTGTACGGTGGCGGCTGATGCTCTCTAGCGGTGTTCCACCTGCGGCGTCCTAGTCTGGAGTCGGAAGCTGAACCAGCGAGGCTGTGCGGGACCCGTGTACAGAGTCTCTAGAGCGGGCACGTTGGACACGGAGGTACCGGAGCCCGGATGGATCCCACGGACCTTGCGTGAGGCTGCCAGCCAGTCCTCGCTGGAGCGGTCCTGGTGGGCTGACACTCCTATGGTGACTGTCGGGACGCCGCCATCCAAGCGGCGTATTCATTTCAGTTGGTCTACTCTGGCGCACATGATGTGAAAGCTTGAGCATGTGACGACAGTCCGTGGCGTATGACGTGTCGAAACGATCAGTTTTCTGTTGTTTTTTCATGTCTTCTAGCGAGGAGATTGTTGAAGTGCCTGATCACAAGCTGACACACAGCGCACAGCCTCATGGGCCCTGACCTGCTATTATCACTGGCCATGCGCTCGGTAGTGTGTACTCAGATCCAGTTTTCACAAAATAAAAAAGTAGGCAAAGGTAACCTGGGCAAAATATTTATCTCTCTGACATGGATCACAGCGTTTTGTGCGCACATGCTCTCGTCACATTTACGGGCGCCACACCCGGCGCTCAATGGCAGTTCAGGTTACCATGGTTACGATCCGTGGCGTCGCTGGCCGCCCCGTCCGGGGCAGTGCCGTCCGTGCCATCACTGAGCCGTCCCGACTGCCGCGGCGGTAGGCTCGCGGAACGGCTGGAGGGTGGGCCCGGCCGTCCCGCCCCGGGCGGGCGCCGTGACCCCGTTTGGGCGGCCCGCTCGTGAGAAGGCTGCCGCCGCGGCGTGTGCGGCCCGCCCCGCACGCCACGTCACCTCACGAACGGCCTGAGTCGGCGCGGCGCTGTTAGCGCCAGTCACGTGATGTGGCGCTGCTGGCCGAGCTGGGGTCACGTGATGCGTGCCGGAGCGGGATGGTGGGCACCGCGTCCCCGACGCTGGGGACCGGTCGCGGTACGCGCGGCAGGCGAAGCACCATCACAATGACGGTTTTAGGCGCGCGCGGCAATGCACGTCGCTTTGATTCGGGTTGGGCCTGTAGGCGGGCAACAGCCCGTGTGCTGGTGGTTACCGGAAGCCACACCCACGCCTCGCCAGTTCGGGTCGGTGCTGTCACCTCGCCTTGTTCCGGTCCCCATTGGAGTCACGAGAACAAGTCGTCCCGGCGGCCGATCTCCTCTAGGAGCGAGCGGGCCTCGTGGCTGCTGGCGGCCGTACCACCGCGCCTCTGGTGGACGGCCGTGGCACTGAACTCCCGCAGCAGGGAGGGTAGCACGCCCCGGTATTGCCGGAGGGCCCGTATGGACCGCTGAGCCGACTTCAGTGATTCCTCCAACGTCGAAAACTGGAAAGACGTGCGTTCAGTTCAGACACACATATTGCAATTGGAGGCGTTGCCTTCAGAACATGCATGCCACGCTGGCTGCAATGTCTACACCTGAGCTTTTCCCGACTCTCCTTAAGGTGACCGGTATAACCCGTGGGAAGGAAATGTAAAATTCCTAATGAAAAGAAGTGGATGGCTGGACGTCGGCGTGGCGCCCCCGTACCGAGAGCTGCTGCTGGCGCGGGCAGAAGAAGAGCGCCTCTCGCTCCATGATGCCCTGCAGCCGAGGGTCGGCCAGCCGCCTCTGCACCTGCTGCAGTGTCGGCTTGGCCTCTGCGTCTGCAGTGGAGGCGGAGCCGGGGTCACGCCAATGGACAACGGGCGTTTTGTGCGACCGGGGCTTACCCAGGGCTCCCCAGCCGGTAGTGGTTACAGAGAGGGCTGAGGGGTCTCACCGAGCCGAAAACCCGAATGGGAGGTTTATTACTGTGCCATGAATTTAGCTGGGGTAATGAGAATCGCGTAAAACGGAATTATGACTGCACACGCATACAAAGAAAGCTCACGGAAGCTAACGGTCTATGATGGGTTTGATAGCGAAGCCTTGATCAGTGGCGACGAACGCATCGGGGCACCACGATGTCAGCGGCGAGAGTTGTGTGCTGAGGGCGGCGCCCGGCGCCTCCCGACTGACGTTTGCTCCTGACGTCGCTGAACCAGAGCTGCTCAGCCGTCTGCACCAGGCGGGCCTCGGGCAGGCAGCAGAAGGCGAGCCGGCCGAGCGGGCCGAACGCCGCGTCGGCCGCCGCCGTCTGCTCGGCCGTCACATCCGCGTCGTTCAGCCGGCGCAGGCCCCAGTGGTGCAGCCGGTACACGGCATACGCGCGCCACAGCGGCTGCTGCGTCACCGCGTTGCCCGCCGGCTCCACGGTCAGCTGATGCAGCTCGCGCAGCATTGCCAGCGCGTTCAGCTGCGCGAGCGTGCCCAACCGCACAGCGCCGAACCGGAAGGTGACAGCGTTCGGGAAGCGCTCGTGCAGCACGGGGAAGAGCGGCGCCAGCTGGTCGAACGGCAGCCGGTTGAAGACGATGGAGCGCACCTGAGGTCCCTCCTTCGGGTCCCACGTGGTCAGCATTCTGGAAGGGACGCGACGGCCTAAGCGTGGCGAGTGTGATGCGTGCTGAAGGTGGAGGAGAGAACTCGGCTGGAAGTCGACCGCCTTGAGCTCAAAGGCTGCCTTTACGCCCTAGTTCATGCAATAGTTGGGGTTACCGAAAATTTTATCTTGTGCCGGTGGCGGTAATACTAAACTTATAAGTACGTGAGTCGCTACAGAGCCCATCATGGCCGGCGTCCGTCGCCGCCGCGGGTCGGCTCACCTGAGCAGCATCCGCTGCCGCGCCGGCCGCCTCACCTGAGCGGCGTCCGCCACCGCCGCGGGCCGCCTCACCTGAGCGGCGTCCGCCGCCGCCGCGGGCCGCCTCACCTGAGCGGCGTCCGCCGCCGCGGGCCGCCTCACCTGAGCGGCGTCCGCCACCGCCGCGGGCCGCCTCACCTGAGCGGCGTCCGCCACCGCCGCGGGCCGCCTCACCTGAGCGGCGTCCGCCACCGCCGCGGGCCGCCTCACCTGAGCAGCATCCGCTGCCGCGCCGGCCGCCTCACCTGAGCGGCGTCCGCCGCGGGCCGCCTCACCTGAGCGGCGTCCGCCACCGCCGCCGGCCGCCTCACCTGAGCGCCCGCTCCCCAGAGACGGCCAGAGCGGCGTCCCTGATCTCGAGCAGCGCGTCGGTCCCGCGCAGCGCCTCCTGCGGCTCGTAGCGGCTGGTGATGGGGCGCACCACCTTGACACTCGTGCCGCAGCCGCAGCCGGGCGCCACCAGTGCCTCCTCGCTGACCGAGCTGCCGGAGCTGGCGCTGGCGCTGGCGCTAGCGCCGGTGCTGGCAGCGCGCTCGCAGGCGGGGACCAGGTCTGGCAGCCGGGCCGGCGGGCGGCGGGGACGCGCCGGCCGCCGCGCCGCCGCCGGGCGTTCGGAGCTCGGCCGCAGTGTCGACATGGAGCGACCCTGCGCCACGATCGTCGACGAGGTGGCCGGCCGGGAGGTGACCGGCCTGTCCAGCGAGCGCGGCCGCGCCGCCCGCCCGCCGCCGCTGCCGCGCAGGGACGACTCCGTCCGGCTGCGCTGCAGGACTGGCGGCGCCGGCGCCGGCGGCGGCCCGGGCACCGCGCCGTAAGGAGGCGGCTCCTCCAAACCCCGCTCCACCTGAGGCGGACGTCAGGTCAGCAGGGTCACAGAACGGCACGGAACAGTACGACGACGGCTCGACGATGCCAAAGGCCAGAACGTCACGTTTAACATCTAGTGACTGAGTCATCGCGCGACACATGTTTATGGTCATGCTTAACATGTCTTTGTTTTGGTTCAGCGTGTTTATCTTTGTGTTTACATGCCATTTTCTATATTTAACGTGGCATTGGTAATGCTTAGCACATTTATGTTAATGTTTAGTATGTCTACGCTAGTGCTTAAAATGTCTATGTTCATGTTCACCATGACTGTGTTTATGTTTACTATGTTGTTAATGTTCAACATCCAGGATTGAGTCATCATGCGGGACCGGCCATGATACTCCGTTCTCACCGTTCTCACCGGAAATGAAATCTGCTGCGCAAGCCGCTGGAGCTGTTACGAAAAGGATTGCAATGCTCATGTATGCCTGACCTTGGCGCGCAGATAAGACGCTGCAAACGGACCACGACTTGCAAGGTAGTCGAGCCCTTCGGTGGTCCGAACAGCCAAGCCTCCGCTCCGCACGGGCCGCGGCCAAGGTGCCCGAGTCGCCCGACTCGCCCGACTCGCCACTCACATGCATGCCGTCCAGGATCTTCAGCGCTTTGAGCTTATACAGGAACGGGTGATAGCCGGGGTGAGCCGCGACTGCAGTGCCGTTCAGGGATAGCTCCTCGAGTTGTTTGCAGTTGATCAGACATTCAATGTCCTCCGGTCTGCGTGCCAAATGACAGCATTTGTACTGCGAGCATCGGTTATGACGTCAATAAAAATACAAAACACGTTGTTTGAAGACAGATACTCTTGCCGTCTTCCGAATCATCATTTCGCGGGATTGTAGTCTGACAAGCGGGTGGAACACGATCAGGTAAGCACACATGAGCGGAGCTGAATGACCGCCATAAGACGCCTTGGTGAGGTAACCAACTGCGCCGGCTTGTCGGCTTGCACATCTGTCTCGCCGTGCGGAGCGTGCGGCCGCCGCGCTCGCTCCCGTCCTCCACAGCGCGCTGCTCACTGACCTGCGGATGTCGTTGTGCGCGAGGTTCAGCTTGATGAGACGCGGCAGACCCTCGAGACCGGCCAGCCGGCGCAGCGCGTTGCCACGCAGGTTCAGGTGCTGCAGGCTGGAGAGGCAGTGCAGGCTTGAGACGGTGCGCACGCCGTTGTTGGAGACGTTGAGCACGCGCAGGCGCGCCAGTGTCTCCAGACCCGAGAGCCGGCTGATGTGGTTGCTGTGTAGGTCCAAGATCTCCAGGTGCACGAGGTGCTCGAGACCCTCAATCTTGCGCAACCTGTAATACATCCACGAAAACATGGATGACCGTATTTTGATTATAGTTCGAAGGGTCGATGTTTTCGGAAATGTGTCCTTGCTTTAAGATGCATTGGCACATTGCCAAACGATTCACGAAGATTTTCTCGGACGCAAACATGGAGGGGGAGACGTGTCGTTTAAAAGATATTGCATTCCGCACACGTACATTTTATTATGTTCAGAGCTGGAACTGAATGTGAATATGCTCGGCGTTGATTTCGTTCCTTCTTCAAAACGGACAGAAGCGATGACAGCCCAGCGGCGCGGGCGCCACTGGGCTGACCTGTTCCTGGCGAGGACGAGAACGCGCAGCGTCTCCAGGTGTCGCAGGCCGCCCATTCGCTCCAGCTGGTTATCATACAGGTCAAGCAGCACCACTGCCGGCAGGTAGAGGCCGTCCGGCAGGCGCGACAGGAAGTTGTGCTGCAGCGTCAGCAGGTTGGCCGTCTGATCCACAGTCTCCGGCCAGCTGAACAGGCCCTGGCTGGCACGGGAGGCGGCGCTGACACGGGACGGCAGTCAGCACCGGGCGTCTCACTGGACAGAACCGCTCGGCAGCACCGGGCCTCTCACTGCACAAAACTGCTCGTCAGCCCCGGGCGTCTCACTGGACAGAACTGATCTTCCGCACCGGGCGTCTCACTGGACAGAACTGACCGTCAGCCGCCGGCCGTGACTCGCGACGGGCTGCCAATCAGCTTCCCAGCTGGTGTCCATGAAAGGGCGGCGTTTCGCCTTCGATTGACAACGGTGCGCCACGCAAACGCCAGGTGACAGCGGTGCACGGGTGTGCAGCCAGCGACCAGCAGGGTACTCTGACCGAGACGGGGAGCGACACATCGAGCTGTTCACCGGTGCGGATAGAGCCCCGTCCCGCCCGGCCGACACACGGCACCGTTACGTGTGTCAGCGGGGCACGGCCGGCGCGAGCGTTGATGCTGTGCGTGTCAGCCGGCGAGCCAGCAGGCCCGCAGACCTGGGATCGAGCCCTGCCTGATCGGCAGGCACACAGTACGGCGACGGCGCCCCACCTACCCGTCAAATGAGACCTTGACCCGCGGTTTTTTCTCAGCCACCGCATCAGTGGTGTCGTCTTTGGGAGGCACGCTGTCAGCTGGCGTTCCCTGCGCGTCGACGGTCCCCACCAAGGCGATGGTTCGGCCGCCGGCGCTACGTCCGCGCCTGTCAACGTCACCACCTGTCACACAACGGTCACAACCACCAACAGCACAGTCCGCGTAACGCCGACGCCACAGCTGTCAGCGTCATGTGCCGTGTCACACCAAGGCTACACCTGGCAATGCAACACACGTCAACATCATGCCTGAGCTACGCCGCAGGAGTTTATGCCGACATTTTGATCTGTCCACACCACATTCACCCGTCAGTAGTAGCAACTGTGCAAGCCTGTCAACAACACAGCGTGTGTCACACCGCAGCCACACCCGTCAACAACACAGCGTGGGTCACACCGCAGCCACACCTGTCAACAACACAGCGTGGGTCACACCGCAGCCACGCCTGTCAACAACACAGCGTGGGTCACACCGCGGCCACACCTGTCAACATTCCGGCCTGTGCCGCACCACAGTGCGGCCGTTCAGCAAGACCACCATCAATAGCATTACAGAGTTCGTCCGCCTCATCAGAGCACGCACCAGTGCAGATAGGTGTCACTCGACCTCAACTCTCTTGTAACCATGATCTCTCGTCCTGACCTGCCTGACGTCCTTGTCATGCCGTCCAGCTCTGCCACCATGACCTGTCCTGACCTACCTGACGTCCTTGTCATGCTGTCCAGCACCGTCAATATAACCTGTCCTCGCCTGCCTGGCGTCCTCTTCATGCCGTCCAGCACCGTCAATATGACCTGTCCTCGCCTGCCTGGCGTTCTCTTCATGCCCTTCAGCACTGTCACTATTACCTGTCCTCACCTGCCTGGCGTCCTCCTCATGCCGTCCAGCACTGTCAACATGACCTGTCCTCACCTGCCTGACGTCCTCCTCATGCCGTCCAGCACTGTCACCATTACCTGTCCTCACCTGCCTGGCGTCCTCCTCATGCCGTCCAGCACTGTCAACATGACCTGTCCTCACCTGCCTGGCGTCCTCCTCATGCCGTCCAGCATTGTCACCATGACCTGTCCTCACCTGCCTGGCGTCCTCCTCATGCCGTCCAGCACTGTCACCATGACCTGTCCTCACCTGCCTGGCGTCCTCCTCATGCCGTCCAGCACTGTCACCATGACCTGTCCTCACCTGCCTGGCGTCCTCCTCATGCCGTCCAGCACTGTCACCATGACCCGTCCGCGGCGGCCGCTCGCTTCCGGCTGACTCGAGCCACCGGCCTGCGCGCCGCATATCGATCTAACAATGTTCCAGTTGCGTGTACAAAGGTCGCAACCATCGACTGGAGAGCCTCGGAACGAGGCCGCCGGGCCCCCGCGGGCGCCTTCGCCGCGTGTTTGATCGATGGTGAGCGGCCGGGGCGCCGCTTCCTCCCGGGGCCAGCACGGAAGCCAGAGGCTTCACCGCCGCTCACAGCGGCGGCCCGGGCGGCGGAGACCGGCTCACAACCGGAAGACACCGTCAGGAGCCCGCTCCTTACCCGGAGCGCTGCAACCACCAGCGCAGCATGGATGGTGGCGTGGGAGTCGCTAATGCGTGCTGAGCAATCGGCGTAGGGTTCTGTACCTTAAATGCGTGTTACCGGCGCTTCACGAAATGAGGTTACAAAGGTTTGGAATGCTTTCACCGGTTGGTGATGTGTATTGTGAACTCAAACATCAAATAAGTGTCTGAAGCACCGACTACGCAGTGATCAGACACTATAATGCTGCCCGATCGGATCCGTTCTCGCATTCGTTCGCCACCGAACTTCAAAGCACGCCTCAAAAACGTACATTTATTGCTGGGATAACGCGAAAGCCATTCCCGAAACAGCAACTGGCCTGGTCGACACCGAAGTCGCATTGGCTGGACGGGGACAGCTGTCTTCAGACGGATGTCTTTCAAGGATGCGCGCCCTGCGCAGTCTGCCCAGTCAGAAGACTGGGCGACCGGCTGACAGGCGCCAATAATAACGCGACAAAGGTGTCCGAGGTTACAAAAAACAGCCCATTGGTCTCGTGACAGCCAACTGCCGGCACACGCCCACCGACTGCGAAAGCAGATATTAAATATAAGGACAAGGCAAAGCTATCGCAGAGAATCATGGCTTTAATCAAAATATTGACCCCACAGAAATGAAGTGTGATTTCACAATTCTACATCTCATACATCTCAGTAAAAAAGAAAAAAAGAAGGAAGCCGCGCACACTGCAATATCCGCTATCCGCTTCCTACCTGTCAATGTCAAACACCGTCATAAACTCGCCCGGTGGGGGAACGTCGCGGAAGACACGCCGTGTCACCGCGCGCGGTTCGAGATCAGACGCGGTAAAGCAGATCATTGCGAGTCAGACCCTGCGAGGCAACGGGTTTCTGCACCGGGTGCAGACCACAACCCAGCAAGACCACAGATACAGGAGCTCATGGACTCGGGCACATCTGCAGCGTCCAATACGTGCGCGAACTGCGTCCCTCCTGACCGGCCCGGCGCTGTCCGGTCCACGCACGGCCCCATAGTGTTGGCCCAGGTTACACCTAGGCCTGGCAGTGTCCTGCGACACGCTATCGCCAACTCAACCACAAAAGAAAGCTCTGGATTAACATATCACATGTGTCCTCCCAGCCGCCCGAAGCGGGTGGTGTACGCTGGTTGCGCGGCCAGCCGGCCCAGCCCGCTCCACGGTTTGTACAATGTCTGAGCATTTGGTCTCGCGACGTTTCTAGTCTAATTACGCCAGATAACACAGCACGCCTGACCACGGCTTCGCGTGCCCAACAGCCGACACAGCATGCCTGACCACGGCTTTACGTGCGCAACAGCCGACATGGCTTCACGTACGCGACCGCCGACATGGTTTCACGTGCGCGACATCCGACACGGTACGCCTCACCCGCACGAACGATTTAACGCTACGTCTCTTCGATATAGGCGACTCCTGACTTTTATCGTAAGGTGACCCAATCTCGGCACCGATCCCCAGATTGATGGTAGGAACAAAAACCCAACAAGTCATGGCCCCAAGTCACCAACTCCTACAGCGGACGCCTAGAGATCGTCCATGCACGCGCCGTAAATGCTGTCACATCCTCCGATGTATTCCTCGAGGTCCTGCACCTCCATCATTTGCTCCTCCGTCAGATACAGCGCGTTCTCCGCCTCCGAGTTCTTCAGGTTGGTGTAGAACTTGAAGAACGTCTCGGTCTCGGCCTTGACCGCGGCCAGTCGCTGTGTCATCCGACGCGAGCGCGCCCCAAACTCCACCTGCAGCTGCTGCAGCTGCTGGTTCAGCAGGTTCTCCAGCTCCCAGGAGCGCTGCATCGGCGACAGCATGAAGTTGAGCGCCAGCTGCCGGCAGAAGCGGACCGTTTCCTGTTCCAGCTGGCGGCGACGTCGCTCCAGCGTCGGCAGCAGCCGGCCAGCCGTCATCACCGTCCGGCCCTGTTCCAGCAGCCAATCAGTGACGAATGTGCAACCGACCACCAGCCGACGCCGCTTGCTGCCTGGTGGCCGGCCCACGCTCTCTGCCGACAGGGTGCGCTTCAGGCCGCGGCCGGCGCGCGTCTCGGCCGGCGCCGGCGCGCGCCGCAGCAGGCCCAGCCGCGCCAGGTTGGCGCGCACGAGGCGCGCGCGGTAGCCGTAGTGGGTGAGGCTGCGATGCGGGTCGGGGATCTCGGTGTTGCGCCAGCGCTGGCGCACGAAGCGGTAGCGCTCGCTGTCGGTGGTCAGCCGGCGCATCACCTCCCACTCGGCAGAGCTGTTGTCGGCGTTCTCGGCCGGATCGTCGCTGATGAACTCGGCGAACTCGTACGGGGTGCGCTCGAGCGCCACACCCCTGGCCTCGGTGGCGGATGGGACGAGCTCGCCGCGGCCCAGCCGGGACGCGGCGCCGTCCTTGTACTCTAGGACGACGATCTCGTCCGCGCCAAGCTCGTGCACTGCCGCTTCGTTCACGTCGTCTCGCAGCACCACGATTTCGTCCGGGTCCGACGCGAGAGAGCTGGAGGGCAGGTCTGACTGGCCGGCCGCCGCGCCCGAGGTCACGGCCTCGGCGGATGCGTGACTCACGTCCGGCTTCCGGTCCGAACTGACGACGCCCGTCCCGAAGGAGGACGAACTCGTCTTGCCGTTCATTGTCATCGTGACCACTTGATGATTTGCCGCCTTCGGGACATTGTGATTAAGATCAAGCGTGGCGTAGTTCTGGTTGATATCAGGCAGGCCGAGCGGCGGCGGAGGCGCCCCGACAGCGTCACGGACGGCACAGGGCAGCTCCAGCGTCACGGACGGCGCAGGGCCGGTGACCCGCGGGTGGACGGTCCTGTCGCGGCCCTCTCGCGGCGCGCACGCTGTCGCCGGCGGAGGCGGTCCGCCGGCGCGCCAAGACCCGGCGCCCGCCGCGCCGGCCCCGTCCCGACCACCGGCACGTCCCGCGGCACAGTCCGGCGGCAGCGTCCCCGCGCCGCCGCCGTCCGCCTTCGCCTGGCCGCTGACGGCGGCGATCCTCGCTCTGAACCTGTCGAACGCCTCTCGTATGGCCTGCTTGGAGTCCAGCCGCCGCTTCGGGATCTTGAAGTCGCCGCGCAGAGTGCGGGCCGCCAGCCGTTTGAGGATGGCCGGCATACCCGCCTGCTGGGCGCCGCCGTCCGCGGAGGCGGCTGCCCCAGCCTGGCCTCGAGACAAGGCCTCCCGTCCGTCACACAGCTCAGCCGCCGCTCTGGAACACGACCCGCTGGACGCCGCCTCTGCGCCAGAGGCGGCACCGGTGGTCCAAGCAATCTGCCTGTCGCTCCGACTCGTATCAGACAGCGATATTTGGAGTCTCCGCACCGGGTTCTTCACACGCTTATCCACGTCTATGCGTTTCAAATACTCCAGAGAAGAGCCTTCTGATTTGGGTCTCGACAAGCCTTGGGGTTTCGCATCACGCGTGGGAGATAATGGCGCGACAGGGTCAGGCTCAGGGGCTTCGATCCTCTTCCTCATCTTCTTGGGCGATTCTGCGCGTTCATCGATCACCGCAGTCTTCTTCGTTTGCTCCGCGGTGCCCTCGCGTCCTACCTTCGCCGTTGCCACGTGGTGACGTTGGCCGGGCTCCACCAGACTCGCCACAGGAGGAGACTTCCGGCCCACCTTCCCCGTCTTGGGCTTGAGCACGCTACTGACCCGGCTCCTGACTCTGGCAAGGAGCCTAAAGCCCTGCCGGATGCGTCTTCGGTCGGTCGGGCTCAGCTCCAAGCCGTAGCGGTGACAGAGCCTCTCGGCCGAGACCGGTGACAGCGACTCCAGCGACACGTGGCACGACCTCTGGCGGTGGTGGCGGGCGTCCACGGCACGCACCCGTTGACCGTTCTCCGCGTACCGACGAGCCGGAGCCGATCGGCCACTGAGCGCACACTTGCGGAGCTTGGCGCGCCCGGCAATGGTGGCTATGACCAGGGCACTGTCGCCCGAACCAGCCGAGCAGCTCGAGTGAGGGGAACGACATGCTGCACCCACACCGTTACGCCCACAATCACTGTAAGCTGCAGGGCAGCCGACGTCGTCCGTCGACTGAGGGCTACGAGCAGTGGCACGTTCAACCGAGATCTTATCAGCTGACACCGGCACTTGGCTGTCGCGCTGGCCAAACGATTTCAAGTTGTCACAATGCGTCCCCTGGCTGTCACGCGGCTCAGCGGACATCGCAGTGCCCGGCCTGGACTGATGAGCGCTGCACAGACCCGAGGCTACGTCTGTCGGCAGGCGTCCCCGTCCGTTACAGAGATCTGTCGACGTCGAGCCAGGCGCCACACCAGACGCCAGCCGACCGGGACGGCGCCGGCAGTCCGGCGCTGTCTCAGTCCGAGGCTGGCCGCCTCTCGTCGGCGCAGCGCCAGCCTCGGACGCCGGCGTGGCGGCCGTGCCTGGTGGTGGCAGCTCGCAGCCCCCTGCCGTCTCTGCAGGCGAGCCCTTCAACGCCCAGCCGGGGCTCGACTGGTGGCGCCCCTGGATACTGGCCAGCACGTCCACCGAGCGAACCGTGGGATCCCGCGGAGTGTCAGCAGCCGTGCCGCAGCAGCCGTGCCGTGCCCCGTCGCCGGTGTCAGCCGATGGCGGGGCACGGCACGGTGCAGTGTCAGCCGGTGGCGGGGCACGGCACGGTGCAGTGTCAGCCGGTGGCGGGACACGGCACGGCGCTGTGTCAGCCGGTGGCGGGGCACGGCACGGTGCAGTGTCAGCCGGTGGCGGGGCACAGCACGGTGCAGTGTCAGCCGGTGGCGGGGCACGGCACGGTGCAGTGTCAGCCGGTGGCGGGACACGGCACGGCGCTGTGTCAGCCGGTGGCGGGGCACGGCACGGTGCAGTGTCAGCCGGTGGCGGGGCACGGCACGGTGCAGTGTCAGCCGACGGCGTGGACGGCTGCCGTCTGCCCTCTGCCGTTCTCCCGGCTCCGCACGCTCCATCCGGATGCCTCGCCCCGCCGTCTGGCGCCGTCTCCCCGTCGGCTGGCCCACTGCGGGGAGAGCCCGCCACCAGCTGGGCGCCTTGGCTGCTCAGGGCGACGATGGACGGTCGCAGCGCCTCGACCGATGAGCGGCCGGAAGGCACAGCCTGTGGGGGCGTCGGACAGAGTTCGTGTGGCGCGGGTGGCGTGTCGTTGAGCAGAGGTATCGGCTCGCACCTAAACGTGCGGCGCACGGACGGCGATGTGCCCGGGTGTGACTTCCACAGCCGTCCGGCCGGCCAGCCGTCGGCATTCACTGCGGAGCTCACACACGGCCCGATGGCGAGCTGGGCGGGTGCAGACACGGAGCTCTGGTACGACTTCTGGTGGCGCAGGTAGGCCGCGTGCGCGAACTGAGCGCACGCGCCGCTGGACTTGAGCGAAGACCAGCTGGTGTGATGGCGGCCGGTGCCGCACGGCGCGCCGGCCGGACCGCGGCCGTCCCAAAGAGAGGCAGCGTGCGGCGGCGCTCCGGCCAGCCCGGGCCGGCCACCCGTCTCCGCGGAGCACGGCCCGCTCCCGGCCGCCGCCGCTGGGTCACCCGCGTCTCCGTACGCCGGCTCGCGCTGCCCGGCCAGGCTGTCGGTGAGCAGCGCAAGGAAGCAGGGCCGCGGCGGTAGCCGGCAGAACGCCAGCTGAGTCCGCCGCAGGGCGCTCAGCTCGCTCTGGTCCCGGCGATGGTCGGCGGCCTCCCCCGCGCGCAGCGTCGGGTCAGAGCCCACTAACCTCTCGGAAGCCTGCATGGTGGGCCGACCTGCGAAAGAGCACCAGCTAAGCGCGTGATTCCTCAATTCGCGACCTTGACAGACTGATCCTGGGTGCTGATTTTGTTTCAGGGTATCACATAAGCATACAGCGAGGGAAGATAATGAGTAAAATTGCAGTAAGCATTCAGAGCGCATCGGTCTGGGATAAACATGCCTTATGGCACTGCACCTTCATATGCGGCTAACGTGACAAATGAATCAGCCTGTGTCAATGTGTGCCATTGGAGCTTTACAATGCACTCAGATGCTGAGGCTATATGGCGTCACCTGCCTCTCATCTGGCAAGAAGGACGGGCACTGCAGGAATTTGAGCCATCACCTCTGGGTTCCCACAGGTTTCCCAGCTTAACTGCTATGCTACCAGTACCCTCAATAGATGGACCATCACCTGTGATTTATCACAGATGGCATCTTCCAGTTTTCACTTAATTTTTCACACTGCTCATAACTCAGCACTGAAAATAACAGCATTGGGTTTGAAAAGGGTTCTCAGAATATCAACAGAGGTGTTTCATGAACGTGCCAGGCTGACAAGGTTTTGGGGATTGGCTTAAAGAGGCTGAAGCAGTAAACAGCAGTCTCAGTAGAATAGAATACTAATGTTTGTAAACAAGAAAGAGCAATTAGGGAGCTTGAATAGCATCAAGAGCATACATTATGTGTACAGGTAACAACAGCACTAGCTCAACTCAGTTTCACACCCCCAAATGGCCATATCTTAAATAACAAACCCAGTTTTTGCCAAAAAAGCTTGATTTTTTTCCACTGAAGTTGGTAATATATTCTGAAATGAATGCACAAGTAAGTCCAGAATGTACAAAGACCTTAATGTACTTACAAAACCACCCTGCATGCCATATTATATGTCAGACACCTACCACACTACATGGCAGTATGTACCAGAGAGGGGCACACAGAGGGGAAAGTTAGTTGCTCTCATGGTTGACAGCTGCTGTGTCATGTGAGAATCTGGAATCCACCATTGCAATATGCTAATGTAGCATGCCCTGATGGTGATAGTTGTGTAAATGTTAGTGCTAGATGCCTTTAACCCAACCTGATCACCAGTTATTTTGGTACTTAACATCCCAGAATCTTTGCTATATAGAAGACAAATTTCACCTCGGTTTGTATCTCTCTACCTTTTATGTTTGAATACTCAATTTTTTGGCAGTTGAGGGTCATTGGCTGGAAGTTCATAAAAGGCATACCAAGAATCATATGAATTGTTCTACCCTGAATTGATGACACTAGCATTGTCTTCAATTCTCAGAGAGAACAAATTCTTTCACTGCATGAGTAATTCAAAACGTAACTGAAAGTGAGACTCATGAGCTCCTTAGGTTCTAAGAGGCCTCACCTCTTGTCATTTACCAAGAGGGGCATGCATAGTAATTCCCCTCCACTCCCCCTAGAAATGTCTGGAGCCCAGCCATAATGACAAGATGCCCCAGATTCCTGAGACAGGATAAATCAATTAGATCAAAATGGCAGCCCTTAAGCCAGTCTGCAAAAAATACATGCACCATGCCAAACATTTCCTGCCTGGCATGAGGTGTGTTGAACCTGGCTGAACCTTACACCCATACCTGTTTAAACCTCACACTAATGAAACTCAGGCCTGACAAATTGTGCTGAATTGTCACATGATGCTTTTGTGAGTGTTTTTAAAGTATTCTACCTGAAAATATCTTTGAAATGTGACAACTCCTTGCAATAGTATATCTCTATGCTCTTAAATTGGTCAAACCATGAGCCAACTCTTAGCATCCCTATTTACAATCTTGGTGCCTTAAAATTATTGCTGTGACTTTGCTACTACACCAAACACATTCAGTGTCATATGTATGTTTTTGAACCTGACCCTTTAAACGCGCAGGACAAGAATTGCATAAAAAGGGCCCAGCAGGCCCAAGATATGTTGCTCGAAGGGGTCCCATCAGATACAACGCAGACCTCACGAAAATACAGGAAGCCTGCCAGCCCGAGACCTGAATTACAAAGACCACATCCCCCAACAATGCCTATCATATTGAAATGCATATCTGAGATATTATGTTAAGAATTAAGTTGCAAATGTGTGACATGCAGTGCAAATTGCAACTTTGTTACCTATAATTCACATCAAGCTTACATGTACCTGCAATTATTTTGGACGCCCTGACGGGTTTGAGATTCTCGCGGGCATATATAATTTTGACGTCTGTGGAAAAGTGCATATTTGGTAGCCTTGATAAGTAATCTAGTCGGTCTAATCTTGAGAATTAACAGGTATTTGACGTCACATAGTATTCGGCTTGGTAAAACCTTTTTTGGAAGAATTGGGCAAGAAATGTCTTACTTTATCGCATTTCTTTGATTAGAGTAAGAGTATGCAGCGACTTTGGGTTCCGGATTGCAGCCATCAGGATGAAATTGCTGTTCCTATAGCAAACATGAGTGGAGCCTGTAGAATCGAGAAATGACCTAGGATAATGTAATGAAATCTTCAAGGGACGTTTTTCACCAAATCACAGGAAATTTGAGGGAAAGGCTGTGAAAAATAGGGCGTTTCACACGGGCGTAGCTGTGCAAATGAGTTGAAGGAGCTTGGGGTGGCTGGGCAGTGAAAAATTAAAAAAAAACCACCAGCAAGCGGATTTCTGCTCGGATATCACCTGTTGCCTTGTGATGATTTGGTTGGTGCAGCCCTACTCAACTGAATGGCAAACTACACCCCTGCATTTGACGGGCATTTGATCTATGTGGTTGTCTTTTTTAAGTAGGAAGGAAAACTGCAATCATGAGCAGCAGTACTGTAGATGCAGTAAAAGCAATAGTAGCAGTAGATGTGTGCGCCTCTGGGTGCTACCAACTAAGCGTTGATCGCCTTGGCTTATTCAACCCCAAAGCATTAAAACAGGGAAGGGGAGCAAGCCATTCGCCCGGCTTCTGTTTATTTCAGGGCATTTGGAAGGCAGGCAAGGCAGGGGTGTCGGTGACGGTTATGGAACGAAAAGGGTGGTAGCGGCATTCATGTGCATCCACCGGCTAAGGCACTCCGCCGGCAGTTAGGCGTGTAGCGGATGATCGTAAGTAGAGATAATCCAGGATACAATTGTTCGGGGATTGATTGACAAGGTGGTAGAACCAGGCGTGTTGCTGAGTCGGGGCTGGGTAACGGGGCACTGGGCCGTGAGGTGTTATGGCATCCTGGGTGGGGCAGTTTCGCTGTTCTTCCATACAGCCTCAAGAATGCTGGCGCTCCGCGTGTACTTAGTTTGCTGCATGGGTTAAAACAAGATTGTGCATTCTTGGTTTATTTATATGCCGCAATTCCAAATTGATGTGGTTACATTGGCGTGCACATGCAGGGCTGCTCCTTGTGTCTGATATCAATTTAGTGAAAATTATTTAAAATTCTGGTTGGCTTGTCCATTCAGGTCTCTCCAAGCTCCTGTTCAGGTAACCAAGCAGTCTCAATTAGGGTGTGATCAGTGTAGATTGGTTTTGCACATATGGTTTAGGGAGACATAGAGGTATTCTTTAAGTGGTTCACCTTTATGAGAAGAAAAAAAATCCCCACAGTGAGTGCTATATGTGCAGTATGCAACAGACACACCCATTGTCTGACTAGCACCTGTGCCATCAGTGTTACAGAACAGCATTTGACTGTCATCTGCTGTGATTATTTTTTATTATTTTCATAAGTTTCAGTGATTAAATGTCAGAAATGGTCCTGTTTCATGATCATTTATGGTGTCTGATGTTATAAAAACATCAGTTCATGAACACTTGAATATTGCAGTGTAAGGCACCAATGTAAGCAATGAACCCAGTAAAGTCAGAAAGTTAGAAAGGAGCATTTGCTGGGCCAACAAGTGGGGCTGGAGATAACTGCATTCCCATGAAACCAAGTTATGAAATGCTTATTTATTTAGGCACATGACACAGGTGTTGTATTTGTGCAGGTATATGGCTCACCTGTGTAACACATTAATAATTCCTTTGATGGGTGCAATATGACCTTAGTAGTCTAGTCTAGAGCCCTAATTATCAAGTCTGCATGCCTTAAAACCCCAATTATATTACATATGCCTTTATTGTTTATCAGCACATGTACTTGCAGATCTCATATCAGGAGTTGTTTGGCAAGTAGTATGATCTTAATGATAGGTGTAATAACATGTCATGGATGATATGATTTAGGACATTTCATACAGTTTTGCCTGATTTTCAGGTCATTGTCATGCAAAATGTGGGGAGGACCCAAGAAGAGCCAGGAAGACAATGATTCGTGTCTTTGTTACAAGCTATAAGCCAGTGGATGAGCCAAGTGAGAAGCTTTATTATGTTTATGTTCTTGAAGTTATCAATAATGGTAGATGCCACAAAGTAGAAAGAAGATACAGCAGTTTTCTCTGTTTGCACAAGCAGGTGAGGAATTTAGTCTGCACACATCCTTGTCCCAGGCTGTGCATGCTTGGTTTCTCTGCAGTCATGCATTTCTGCTGTGGGCCTGCAAGGGGCTGAGGTTATGTGCATGTTATCAGGATTGTCACTAATTCAGAGCCTTTTGTAACAATGTACCCTGCAGTCCCTCACTGCACAGCCAGCTGCCATCTGCCCGACAGGGGGCTGTGTTTTTTTGTGGAACTGCCTGATCAAGCAATTGATAATGCCTCAACACTGGTAGCAGAGCATCAACTCCTGACATCATCACTGAAGCTGTGAACTGCTCGCTGGGGTTTTCAAACTGTTTGGATCACATGGTAGCGATACCATGCTTGAAGGATACCATGCTTGAAGTCCAACCCCGAGTGTGTGAGTTCGAGATTGCCATCCATATTTTTTTGTCCCTGCTCCCTGCAATGGACATGGGAGATGGAGCAAGATGTCTAGTATTTTTATTGTTTATTTCCTGTCTGAATAAATGTCTGGTTGCACTTACTGCTACAGGATCAGAGCATGTGTGAAGTGAATTGTGTTGCGTGCCTCCTGAACTCGCCTTCCAGCGATCGCGTATCGTAGAACAATATATCTGCCGCCAGTGGAGTAATTGACGGCACCCGACTGGGCCGTCTGTAACTCAGTTCTAGGCTTGGCCACGTGCACTGCGAGCATCTGTGCATGGGACGCCTCAAATAGGACACTGTCCGATAGCCCCGGGACAGGGTCTTCAACCACCGAACTTTGGTCGCCTCGTCCACTGTTTCCGGCCCGCGGAGGACCCCGGGTCCAAATCTGCTTGGGCGCACGGGTCGCAGCGTTGACCGCGTACAGTTGCTGACCGCTAAAGCACGCATCCTGTAATGGAGCTCATGCGGACACCTTGGGCTAGTGGTACCCTGACGCTTAACTCGTGCCATTGATGATATGAATTATGCAGAGTCGGGCTGACAGCATGCTGCATATGTCTGTGCCCCCGATCGATTCGAGCCAGGCATCCGAGTCCTATTGCAAAGCCGGCGCATCAAATTATGCCACTTGTGTGGGGCCCATCTGTGCGTTTTTGCGTAGCACGATCGGAAACTGAACTGAAGCTAGTGAAGACTAAGCACACTTAGAGCAAACACATCCTGGTCAAAAATGCATGAAAGTCATATTTTTTGACGTGATCCACCATATGGCACTACACTGAAGTAGCGCACGTGAAGCTGTTGTGACGTGTTCGGCGACAGGTTGTGATCTGGCTGCCGGTGCTCGCCCCCAGCTGCGTAAGACGCACCAGACGCCGGAGTTTCCGCCGAAGCGCGTGATCCACAACACGGTGAAGGTGCTGGAGCTGCGGCGCGCCGCGCTCGAGGCCTACCTGCAGACCCTGCTGCTGATCGAGCCGACGCCGCGGCCGCTGCTCGACTTCCTCGGCGTCCAGCCGCAGCCCAGGTGAGGGCGGCGCTTCGGCCGGCGTGCGTGTCCCTCTTGGGCCGCGCGGTTGACTGGTGGGCCGGGGCGCCGGCCCGTGTTCGCCTGCCGCGCCGGGGCGCCGGCCCGGGCCGTCCCGCGTGACAGACGCGCTGGGGCGCGGCCGCGGCGGCTGACCGACACCGGCCGGCCGACGGCGTAGCTGTACGCCGTGGCTGCTGTTCGCGACACCGATCTCGTGTGGAGGCGCTAACCACGGATGCAGGGGTCTCGCATGCTCCGCACATTCGGACTGTCTTACTGGAACGAGCATCATAACAAGGTTTAGTCGTGCCGGTACGCCAGCCCCGTATTGTTCATGCGTTCCCGGGTCAGCAGGGGCCGTATCGTTCACACGTGCCTGGGTCAGCAGGGTCCGTATCGTCTACACGTGCCCGGGTCAGCAGGGGCCGTATCGTCCACACGTGCCCGGGTCAGCAGGGGCCGTATCGTTCACACGTGCCTGGGTCAGCAGGGTACCGTATCGTCTACACGTGCCCGGGTCAGCAGGGGCCGTATCGTTCACACGTGCCTGGGTCAGCAGGGGCCGTACCGTTCACACGTGCCTGGGTCAGCAGGGGCCGTATCGTTCACACGTGCTTGGGTCAGCAGGGGCCGTGCCGTTCACACGTGCCAGGGTCAGCAGGGGCCACATCGTTCACACGTGCCCGAGTCAGCAGGGGCTGTATCGTCTACGCGTGCCCGGGTTAGCAGGGGCCGTACCGTTCACACGTGCCCAGGGTCAATAGGGGCCTCGGCGTGCCACGTGGCCGCCTGGCTGCCCTGTGTGCATCTGCTGCCTCTAACACAGAGGATGGTCTGTTAGAAGTGGTGTACAGTGATTACACCAATGGAAGCTCACCGCTCGTTGGCCCCAAGGGCATATTTCATGTAAAAATTTATGTGTGTCCTTTGTCTGTAATATCGTTTGGTTACGAGTCCTCAGTTGTATCAGGTGCCAGGCGGTGTTTTAATGGTGGTAGTAATTCATTGCTCCATTTTATAAGTTGCAGTCAGCATGATGCCATAGTTAACATGAGCGCGTCACTGTTTTCAGTGTGTATTTGAGGTTCGCCCAGTCACATCGATTATTTCCCTGCATTGAAATGGCCACGGCCCATTTCGTATGTGGTGTTGTTGACCTGTTGACCTAAAACTCACCACCCGCTGCCGGTCCGGCCCGAAGAGAGCTCTTCGAATAACTGGTGAATACTCGGCATTAAGGGGTTGTTAGGAATTGGTTAGGGATTGTTTTCCTGTGGTGGAGACTGAACACTAAATGACATAGAATGCGTGGAAAATTGCCGCTAACAGCTACTAACGCAGAACAAAGGCTGGAGAGATAGCGAAACGAAGGGCGTTTCTGACGTCGCCGACCGCTGAGGTTCACACGGTGTGCTTCACTCTCTGGCGAACCAGTGAACCACGCAGCGGACACCGGACACCGAACACCGGACACCGAACACCGAACACCGAACACCGAACACCGAACACCGAACACCGAACACCGAACATTGAACACCGGTCACCGGACACCGAACACCGCACACCGCACACCGGACATCGAACACCGGACATCGGACACCGGTCACCGGTCACCGGTCATCGGTCATCGGTCATCGGTCATCGGTCACCGGTCACCGGTCACTGGTCACTGGACACCGGACCTCGCACCTCGCACCTCGCGCCTCGCACCTCGCAGTACCACACAGTCGATACATTCTGACCGCGAACCCTACCCAGTAATGCGTCGACCTGCCGACAGCCTGATCGAGGTCGAGTGTCAGGAGGTGAGCCACCAGCCGCTGCTCGCCTTCCGGCCCAACATCCATCTGGAGGGCGGCGCCGGCCGCACTGGCGACATCGTCACCGAAGGCGTGCTGACCGGCCTGTACGGCCGCTAGTGGTACGCCATGACGCCGCTGCGTCTGCGCCAGCTGTTCACGTTCGCCCTGCTCTGGGTCGGCTACGCGCTCACCTACTTCCTGCGCAAGCCGCTGGGCGTTATCAAGGGCGACCTGCGCGCCTTCGCCGGCCTGAACGAGGCGCAGCTGGGCTGGCTGGATGCAGCGCTCCTGGCGCCGTACGCGCTGGCGCAGATGGCGCTGGCGCCGGCCGGCGAGCGGCTCGGGCCGCGGCGCACGCTCGGCTTCGGTCTGCTGTCCGCCGGCGCCGCCATGGTCACGTTCGGCCTCTGGGGCGGCGCCGGCGCCATGGCGCTCATGCTGGCGCTCAACGGCGCGGCGCAATCGTGCTGCTGGCCGGCGTGCGCGCGCGCCCTCGCTGACTGGTTCCCCGACGAGCGGCGCAACTCGGTGTTCGGTCTGTTCGGCACGTCGGCGTTCGCGGGCGGCATCCTGGGCACGGCGATGGCTGTCGCTCTTCAGGCGGCCTTCGGCTGGCGGGTGATCCACGTGCTGCCCTCGCTGCTCTGCATGTGCTTCGGCCTGCTGGTGCTTCTGGCGCTGCGCTCGCCCGAAGAGCTGGGAGTCACCGTGCCCGGCAAGCAGACGGCGTCGACGGTGAAGGCGGCGGCTCCGGCCGACGCGCTGACCTGGCGTGATGTGTGGCGCATTCCCGTGGTGCCTGAGGTGGCCGTCGGCCTCTTCTTCCTCAAGCTGGTGCGCTACGCCATGTACATGTGGCTGCCACTGTTCCTGTCACAGCAGCTGCGCTACGATCGGCAGGCGGCCGGCCTGCTCTCGCTGGCGTTTGACGTGGGCGCGGCGCTGGGCTCGGCCGTCATCGGCGCCGCCGTGGACCGGCTGTTCGCCGGCCGCCCGCTCACCGGCTGCCTGCTGAGCTCGACCGCCTCAACGCTCGGCCTGCTGCTGTTCTCGCTGACCAGCGGCTGGGGCGCGCCGGCCAACGCCGCCTGCCTGCTGCTGGCAGGCCTCTTCAACGGCGGTCCGGACACGCTTCTGAGCGCGGCCGTACCCACCGAGCTGGGACAGCGCGACGGCCGCCGCGCCGCGCAGGCCGCCAGCGGCGCCGTCAACGGCTTCGGAAGCGTCGGCACCTTCCTGGAGGGCCCTCTGCTCGGCTGGGTGGCGCTGCGTCTGGGCTGGGGCGCCGTGTTCGGCACCATGCTGGCGTCCAGCGCGCTGTCGGTGCTGGCCGTGCTTCGCGCCGACATTGTCGATCGGCGCTGGCGGCGGTGCTGCGCGCCGCGCTCATCCGAACTGGCCTAAGCGCCGCCGGCCGGGCCCGCTCCTCCGCGCGACACGCGCGGAGCTGTGGCGGCCGCAGTCGGCGCCGCTCCGGCCACGGTCGGTAGGGCTTGGCGCGGTGCGGCTGGGCGCCGGCTCGTTAGACGCGGCGGCGGCGGCGGCGGCGGCTGATGTCTGCCGAGCGAACAGCTTCGCAGGAAGCGCCCCGTCCACCCCGTCCGTCCACCGGGCTTGGCGCGGTGCGGCTGGGCGCCGGTTCGTTAGACGCGGCGGCGGCGGCGGCGGCGGCGGCTGATGTCTGCCGAGCGAACAGCTTGGCAGGAAGCGCCCCGTCCACCCCGTCCGTCCACCGGGCTTGGCGCGGTGCGGCTGGGCGCCGGCTCGTTAGACGCGGAGGCGGCGGCGGCTGATGTCTGCCGAGCGAACAGCTTCGCAGGAAGCGCCCCGCCCACTCCCGCCGTAGTCAGCTGCTGGACCGCCTGCTGGGGATTAGTTTCTGCTCATTGATTCGCGATCAAATGGCTTGAGAGGAGGCGTCCACGCCTGACGTCTCTCGCGGCCGCCGCCCGACTCGTGGTGTTGACCTGATTGAAAGACGTGCACTCGCACGGCTTTCGTTGGCTGCGATTATTGCGCTTCTTCTGTCATCCCCGGGCTGAGGACGTGCGTAGCAGGGTTTTGCGTCGCGTTCCCGCTGGTCACATGCCAAATGCACAACCTGTATGCCGTCAGATCAAGTGTGTGTACGCGCGTCAGTTGTGTACTGAGCCATGTGATACTCTGTTTTACGTCCTGTCAGTCGGCTTGTGCTCACCATCCTGAATATTTTGTAGCGTTACGTAGTGTTGCGTCACTTGGCTTCAAACATGGCCGCCGTAGCCGGATCAGGCTATATTAGAGAAGTGGGGGCGCTGAACTGCACGCTGGGGTGTGGAGAATCATTATAAATTTTCAGGTGTGCAAATATGTGTGCAGTGTGATGGTGACTTCTCTGCCTGGCGATTTCCACTCGTTTATTCTGTTCTGTGGTTAATAATAAAAGAAGTCCACCAAGTGGTCGTGGCACAAGACGGCGATTGCATGTGGATTGAGCAGTTTCGCAGCTGCGTTTACAATCTTTCATTTTGAGAAAATGACCACGGATTGTAGAAGCTATGCGGGAATCCAGTGTGTTGCTTTTGGTGCGATATGGGCTTTGCTAGGACTTGGCTGGAATGGGGGTGTTTCCGTGTGTTTGTGACACATTCCATTCCATTGCGTAAGAGTCGGATTGACCGGGTGGGCGGAATGTTGATTCCCATGGCTTAGCGGCTGCTTCATTAAAGTTAGGCAAGCATCGCGTATTTTTTTGTGGGGATTGAATTGAAAATGCTCAGTGGAGCGACCGAGATACCTGTCCCATATGTTAGTCATACAAAACTTGCCAGAGGTGCATTGTTCAGGAGAACCAGTCTCGACCACAGACGCGATGCGGCCAGTTCCCTCCTGATCAGGTGTTGCGAGACACTGCGGCCGACCGCCGTCCTGTTTGTACAGGCGGAACGGAGCTGGGGTCCGAGCCAGCCCTCCGTTCCCCGTCAAGTGCGGGTCAACGCCGCCGTGCGCGCACGCACCTATATGCGTGATGTAGTAGCCGTGCCGGGTGACGTCATGCACTGCCGCCCAGAGCTGCGGCGGAGCCAGACGACTGCCTATGTGCGTGGTGCAGTAGCCGTGCCGGGTGACGTCATGCACTGCCGCCCAGAGCTGCGGCGGAGCCAGACGACTGCCTATGTGCGTGGTGCAGTAACCGTGCCGGGTGACGTCATGCACTGCCGCCCAGAGCTGCCGTGGAGCCAGACGACTGCCAGCGCGAGTTCGTCCCGGTGGCCGGCCGATGGCGGCTGCCCTCCGTAGCTCCGGTGGCCGGCCAGTGGCAGCTACCTTCCGCAGCCCCCTTGACCGGCGGATGGCGGCTGCCCTCTCCAGCTCCGTTGGCCGGCCGATGGCGGCTGCCCTCCGCAGCATCGCTGACCAGACGATGGCGGCTGCCCACCGCCACTCTGGTGGCCGGCCGATGGCGGGCGCCCGCCGCAGCATCGCTGACCAGCCGATGGCGGCTGCCCACCGCCACTCTGGTGGCCGGCCGATGGCGGCCGCCCTCCGCAGCATCGCTGACCAGCCGATGGCGGCTGCCCACCGCCACTCTGGTGGTCGGCCGATGGCGGCTGCCCTCCGCCGCCTTTAGGTGACGACACCTGTGTAGTGACGGTTGGCGGCGTGGCGACTTGCTGCTGGGTATGACAAATGTTTGAAGAAGATTATCGGGTATCATCCAACGGTTGGCGTTTCATGCCGTGGCGTGATGTGTGGCTTAACTGATGAATGCACGATAAGAGAAGGCACCCCTACAGTTTCATCCTCCTTTTTAATCACGACGAGGCTCCTCGAAAAATCCGACTGTGGAACAGAAAGCCAGAATGGCATAACTGGACTGCGATGTTTGTTACCTGCATTTACTTTCGTGGACTGAGAAACGTACGTCACCGACCAGTGGACAAACAGCGGACATTATATACTCATCTTTATTAGTGTCATGCACATCTATCGACATAATGTTATACATACAACGAAACAGTGGTGCATCAGTAAGTTCTCAAGGCGTGGTATTTACACCCTGCTGTGCAATTGCAATCACGGTCAATTCGGTGTGGGCTGTAGCTCCTTCCGTTCCCGATCGTTACGATCGTCCTGACCCGGCCAAACCAAGCTGCCCGCTGAGACTGACGCCGCTCGACCACCGACCGAGCGCAGGCGTCGGTCGCACAGTCGTCTTCTAAGGACATGGTGAAGTGGCCGCAGGAAAGAATGCACAGGCTGCACGAAGCGACACACCGCTTCGACGCGGCAGCTGCGCCGCAAGCCCGTTGCTTCGGCGCGCAACGAGGTCACTTTCCTACTTTCCTTAGCTTTGGTTTTTAGGATCCATGACCAGGCCAAAGCAAAAGCGCCACCACTTATACAATCTTTTAAAGGTATGATGCACGAAGGCGTTATTTCAGTTAATATGGAAGTTGTGGGACCGTTTCCGTGCATGACGAGTAGCGTACATGTTTTCATGCCCAAGGTGAACGGGGTCGCTCGTGAGCCCGCCATCCACGGAAATAAGCCCAGACACTTTCACATTAACGTATCACGAACAGTGTATCGCCACATCGGCGATCGTGAAACGAAGGCGTCCGACTTCTTTGAACGTCACAATCACTAGCGCGCAACCGCACGGCTATGGCACTGCGGGCTTCACGGGAGTCATCCTCAACGTTAGTAACCTACAAACAGGAGAGTTAGCACCCAACAGTCGAACGCGACATCGTAAAGCTTCATTTCTGGTAGCGCCACCTGACACTTGGTGGACAACGGCACCATGACTCGCAGCGATGACTATGACGGTACGCCCCCGCGCGGCCGGCGCTGCCGCACGAGCCGACCGACTCTGGCGCCGGCGGTCCCCACACGATGACGATGAATTGACTTAGATAATGGTCGGTGGCGGCGGCCGGATGGCGGCCGCTACACCTGCGAGTCGGTCTCCTCCTGCTCCTTGTGGATGCTCTCCTCGGAGGACGAGCGCGGCTGACTGGCCGTGCGCACGAAGCCCACGCCGGGCCGGCCGCCCCACTTGTTGTAGTGGCTGGCCAGCCGGCAGCGGCCGCGTAGCCGGCAGTACACGCAACCGGCGGCCGCCACCAGCATCAAGGCCAGCAGGCAGCCCAGCGCTGCCGCCGCTGGCGCCGTCTGCCACCAGCGTGCGCCGGCGGCGGACCGAAGCCAGACGCACTGCACCGGCGGCGGCGGCGCGCCATCCTCCGCCGGCGCCGCATCCACACCGCCCGGCCCAGTCCGGCGCGGTGCCGTCACGCAAGCGCGCGCACCCGGCCGGCCGGGCGCTGCCAGTGCCAGCAGCGGCAGCGAACACGCCATCTGCTCGGCGGCGAGCACCTCAGGGCCGTCCAGCAGCAGCACGGTGACGGAGCAGCGCTGCGGCGGCGCGTGCAGCACGCGCAGGAACACCGTCACCCGGCCGGCGGCCGTCATGTTGGCGAAGAAAGCAGCCAGCTCGGGCTGCGGCGCGGCGGCCGGAGACGGCGGCAGCGGCGGCGGCTGCGGCGGCGGCGCGGCCGCGGCCAGCCGCAGCGGCTCGCCGCAGCTGGGGCGCAGCGCCGTAGCCGCCGCCGGGGCCAGCTCCACCAGCACCAGGCAGAAGCGATAGGGCTGGCCGGCTCGCAACTCCGGCCACCGCACGTCCATTTGCAGGCGCGTGGGGTCGGTCAGCGCGCCGCCGCACTCGGCCGCCACGCTCGCCACGTGCTGCTCGTGGTCGTCGCGCGGCTCGAACACGAACACCTGGTCGCAGCGGTAGGGCGAGAGCGCCGGGTCGACGCGCCAGTGGAGGCGCGCGCCGCCGCCGTCGGCCGCCAGCTCGGCCGCCTCCAGCCGGATCTGATCACTGGCGTCGCCCGGCCGCGGCTCCATGTCGTCGTACTGCACGCTCTCCTCGCAGGTCAGCTGGTCTGGCGTCAGCAGCGCCTGAAGGCACGACCACGGCGGTGTCGATTCAGGTGACGTCACAGTGAGCTGCAGACTATGGTTCGTGATCGTGCGATGGCGTTATGGGACTCTTTCAGACGAGTTGGAACATCGGACTTCGACGTGGATTCGGATGTGGTCAAGAGCCCCCGGTCAGCACGCTGAGGACGAGCCTCGCAGCCATGGTGCAACGGCTCAAGATGAAAATGGCCGAACATTCCTGCCTTTCTGGAAAATCTTTTGACATTTTACTCAGATGTGGGCCTAAGGAGCTCGCGCTAATCGTAGAAAATCAGGGAAATCATGCTATTGTGGTTACATGATCAGCAATGCTCGGACATGAGTTTAGCCGCGGCGATGCAGCACTCGCCGGGGCGATAATGGTTGCCCGGTGCCCTGCAGCACGGCAAGGCCAGCTGGGCCCACGCGACCGCCAGCTTCGTGACGGTGATGAGGATTAGCGCACCCGATTAGAGAGAAATCATCCCGCCCGATCGCACTGCAGCCCTCTGCAGTCGCAGACAGAACTTGTTTTCCTAGGCGGCTTATCGGGATATCAAAGACAATGTCCTGTTTCGATAAAAAGTTAAGCAACGTTGACGTTGATGGAGGAAACTTTTGCGGTGGCAGCGAGGATTTCTAGGGACCGGCCATCGCCTCACGTGCCGAGACAGGGTAATCCGTACGCATCGCAGAGGTCAGGCGGACACGCACTGGCCCAGTGAAGCGGAGCTCGCGGTAACGCACAGCGGCCCATCTCTGGCTGGGCCGAGCGCTTGTGCCAAGTGCTCGCACAGTTGGGATTGTTCGTGTATTGGCGCACCACCGCTGGCGCGCGTGGAATGCATCATTGATTCAAACTTCAGTACTTCAGAATTAAGATTGCTCAAAATATCTGAGACAATGAAATAACGTACTTCGTGGATTTGCTGTGTGTGGGCATTGCTACAGCTGTCTGGAAGAGGAAATAAGCGCCCCAACAAGTATGGCGGACTGCAGTAATAACACCTTCCGAACGTGACTGCCGATTGAAATGCGAGCCATCAGACGTCACCACTCGAGCAAGAACTTGCGTCTAATTAGGCGAGGGCGTAGGATGTGTATCGATTGCAAAACAGCGATTAGATAAACTGGCGCGGGTTATCATTAGCAGTCTCCATCAGACCAAACAAGTATGATAAACAGCGACCTCGCGCTGAGATCACCGCCGGATAACAAGAAGCGGCGGTCCCTTCCTCCGAATGGCCGCGCGAGATTATCTGTGGCGGCCGCTCTCGCGGACCACTCACCAGCGGCGCATTCTCCAGGTGGGACGGAGTCATGCAGGTGACCTGAGCCAGGTCATCGCCGCTCAGCCGTGCCTTGCTGGCCGTCAGGAAGCTGGCCAGGCTCAGCAGGCGGCAGTCGCAGTGCAGAGGATTCTCTGTCGGAGAGAGGTGGCGCCGTCAGTCGATCAACACGTCGCGAAGAACGCTTCAAACGAAGGGGGATGAGGTGGGGGCGGGCAAACCCGCGCTGGCTGCTCTTCAAACCTGCAGACTTTCCCTGTAGACAATATATAACGACTTTACACGCGGTTCGAAATTTACAGCTGCTTGCAGTGGCACACGTAAACATGTATTTTTTGCGTCGCTATCGACGTCGAAGGGCAAGGGTGCCACCCGAACACGGATTATGGACCTCAGCCCCCTTCTTCGAGCGGGCGCCCACGGCCGGTGGGCCAGCATCCTGTCACGTCACCATATGGATGTGGCACGGAGCCGCACGCGCACACCGTGTACACCCGCGCGGTGCCAGCCATGCCAAGGAGCCTGTACCGGGCGACCCGGGGGCAGCTGCGCGGCGTCGCTCTGCTGACGGCTTTTTGTGCAGTTACACCATGGCCGTGGCGGGCCGGTTGTGAAACGCAACCACTCCAGCGGCCGGCCTGAACATCTGTGATTTGAGCCTGAGCTGATATATGGAAATAGCATGTCATCAGCAGTTGGTTATAGGCATGACATGGGTATTTATTTTCAATGTCAACTGAGAGTTATGCTAAGTCGTAAAGCAATCAGGCATGCTATATACAATTTAACGTGCCTTCCAATAATGCCATGGTTTATGTTGGCGCATACATAATGACCAGTCATGTCGCATCGCTGACATAGCTCTTGATATTGACAAGTTTAATTTGGCTGTAAGGTAGAGTTCATCCAATTAACAAGCATCGATTCCTGGTTCGCTTTGTAACGAAAAACACGACACCGAATATGTTTGCATCCCGTGGAACGGCAGCATTGCTCATTAGGGCTCATTAGGGCGCAGACAATGTCTGTCGGGTGCGTGCTGACGGTGTGTTCCGAGTATCCCGAAGTCCAGAGGGGACGGTCCCGAGGACGTGTAGGTCTGAGCTGATCAACCCGACGCATGGGAGCATGCAGCGAATCTATCCGCTGTTCGCCCGGACGCACTATACCCCGAGACCTAGGCCTGTTTCGAGCCAGGTCAGCATCGGCCAGGAGACCAACCGACCGCACTCGAGACAACATGCTCGGCATCACTCTCGGTGACGGCCCAACAAAACCGAACTCTTGCTCCGGCCCTTGCTCACATACTCCTCCGTTTCACTGACGAATGCGACGTCAATCGACAGTGTGATGCTTGAACAAATCGACATCTTTGCTGGTGGCCTATCGTAAGCTGCTGACAGAGGCCTATATGCACGGTACAGCGCCAGCCGTCGGGCGCGGCGATTATGATCGAATATAGCAGGTGATGCCGTGCAGGTGCCACACTTCAAGGACGGCCCAGCCGGGCGCGTGCTGTGTGATGACGTCACGACTGGGAGGCGGCCCAGGGCGCGGCGGCGGTGCCCGAGCGGTGCCCGCGGACAGCTGGACCGGACGCAGCTGCCAGCTACAGCGGCGCGACGCGTGCGCCCGGGCGTGGCGGGCCCTTCGCCCGGCCCCACCGCAGTCGCACATGAGTGGTCCCCGACGGCCCACCCGGCAGCGGGGCGAGCAGGCGGCGCCGGCTCACCCCAGTTCCACGGCTGCCGACGCTCCGCCATGCGCGCCGCCCGCTAGATGGCTACAGCGGCTCAGCGGCCGGGTACAGCAAGCCCGCAGACGTCGCCGAGGGAATTATCCCCGACTGGGCGCGGCTGGGTGAGCAAAGCCGCCAGCATTGCTGGCAGAGCCCGGCGCCGCTGAGCAGGACATCTGAGCCGCTGAGCAGAGTGTACACCGCTGAGCGGGGGATCTGTGCCGCTGAGCGGAGAGTCTGCGCCGCTAAGCAGGGAATCTGCGTCTCGCGGCTGACTGGACACGGCAGAGTCGGCACACCTTTGGAGCTGAGCGTCCCGTCGCCCGGCCGCCGACGCCGGGTCACGCCGGGCACGCCTGGCAGGCAGACTGTGGTCGGTCAGGAGCGTCAGACCCTACAGCAGCGCGGCTGCAGCGGCCGGCCCTACCGCCGGCCCTACCGCAGGACCTACGCCGGACCTACCGCCGGGCCTACCGCCGGACCTACCGCCGGACCTACCGCCGCGCTCGCCGTCATGTCGCCAGGCAGCTCGAGACCGGGGACGCAGCCAGAGCCCGGGCACGCGGGGGGGGGGGGGGGCAAAGGGTTGACAAAGCGCCCCTGATAGCGGAAGCACCTCATTCCGCAAAATCGTTAGATATGGCCCAGTTGTAAGTGAGATCATATTTTCTTTCCTTTTCTGTCATTTTTACCTTACAGAAGCAAAAGAGGCTACGCAAGATCAATGCTATCTGAATTCTATAAAAGATAAGATAAAGAAATCAAGTGTTAAGCGATTGCATGGAACAAATCCCCGGCGATCTTTATTTTACGATGGTCCAGTAGGCTGACTCTTTTCAAATCAATAGAACTCGGAAGCTTTGCCAGATTTTTAGCGGGATTCTACGGAGATATTTAAGACCCACCAATGTAAATTGCAGATAAAAATGGTCACCAGCTTGCACCAACTTGACCAAGTCATGTTTCTATGAAAATTTTCAACATTTGGTTAGAATCGATTAGTGCTTCAAATTATGTAACGTAATTTTGAACATGCGCGCTAGCAAACCTTGGCAACGAAAACCTCCATAAGCCGCACAGCGTCGGCCGGCGGCTAGTATTAAACGCGGTGGCCAACAGGCGGTCGAAAACAATGATGTATCTGAAGGACGCACATTTGAACGCTTCAGGAAATCAAATCGTGCATTTAGGAGGTAGGACGGGAATTTATTTCGCAACAGGCCCTCTGACTGACATTTAAGGTCACGGCCATACGGGTGGGACATACTTAATGTAACCTGCGGCCAATCCTTCGTGCCCTTCAGCCTTCCAATCAGGCCGTTGACCTTTGGTCCTAAAGGGTCCGTCGGTCCCTCTTCGGACCTCCTCAAACAGAGCCTGTGACCGCCTCCAGGCCACTAGCCGACACATGCTCTCGTATCAGGCACTCTAGACCCCTGATCAACACAGGGGTTCCGACCATTCAGGGACGCAGACCAGTGCAAATCGTGGCCCTTGGCCTTGCTCCTGCTTGAAAATGGGCCTTCAGTGTTGGTAGTCTCTGGTCGACTTAGACACTCGCATTTCCTCCAGGCGTCCTCAAACGGTGCAAGAGGTCCTCTGATATTTCAGACCATGGTCCTACGGGCCGGGTTTCGACCAACTGCTGCTGGGCTGGGCGAGCTGGGCGGACGAGGCCGACCCCGGCCGGTCAGACACGACCCGTGACGTCGCCCTCCGTGCCGGAGAGACGGCGCTGTAATTGGCTCACGACGCCTCTCCTTGTAGGGAAGCGCGCGCCGAGCGCCGAGCTGGCCGATGTGAGCATTCTAAATGGAAGGGAAGTGAATTATAGGTCGGCCGCCGAGGAAATGAATTCACCCGGCGCCCGGTTGCCCTATTTTTGAGACAAATTGATGCCGGAGCTCGTTATTCATCTCATGCGTCGCACTGGAGAGCCGGGGCGCTTGTTATTCACTTTTAAACAAATTGGTTTTAAACATTGGACCGGTGGAAGTGAATTTGTAACGCCCAATCAACGCTTGAAACCATTCCACTTTCTAGGTCGTATGTGGTTTGTCTGTTTGATGCCTACTCACGATGGAGATTTCCAATGCAATGTTTCCGAAACAAACCACCTTAGTTGAAATTCAGTTGCGTCACACCTTAAAGCCCATCCCATGTTCCTTTCCTATTCTGAGTCTTTTTAGCGGAAAATTGTCGAGGTAATTATGGATACGACGATTAACGTGACTCATACAGCCAGATACAGCGTCCTTAATGCTCAGCCGGGATCTCGACATTATCGCCTTACGCGATGTCTCGCTGTCCACAGTGATATCCTGGCAGCTTTTCTCATAGCCCATCCTGACTGTAGCGTTCCCAGAACCGCACCCACCGAGCGGGTAATCGCCATTAAAGCATTCACTTAGAGCTTTAGATCCCGTCCGAATCCGACAAGTTTGTCAAGATCACGCGAGGTCCCCAAGGCCCGCTCCGAGCAGGCACCGGGCGGACGGCGAGCCGGGCGGTGCTACGCTCTCGCTGGAGGCCCCGCCACCATGGGGACACGAACCGGGGCGCGCCGGAGACGAAGCGAGTCCGCTCCCCGCGCCGCTGGTCAGACGCCGTTCACCTGCACACGGCCAGCCGACAGTGATGGGTGGGTGTGATGATGTGTGATGATGGATGGGCCGCAGTGATGGGTCGACGCGGAAGCGACCCGCGCCGCCCCGGCAGCGGCCCGCTGACGGAGCGCTGAGGGGAGGGGAGGAGGGGGGGGGGGGGGGGGGGGCGCCAGCTAGCCGTAACTCTTACCGGAGTGTAGGCCGAGTGCCGCACTTACTCCTTGGCAATGTGCCTGCACTGCGCACACAGCTCTAGAAACACTATAGTCGCGCTGAAATCTAGGGAAATAGATGTAAGGAACTGCGATGCCAATAGGAACGCGAATCCCAAAGACTGCAGCGCACGCGATTGGTGTAACACTTACCTGGTCTTCCCACACATTACTATGAAATTGACACAGCGGACTCCGACAGGATCAAAACAAGACAATAATTATCTGGAGTGCTTCCTAGATGCAATCGTCACAGATTAGTCTCGGATCCAGACGAATGTACTCTGACTGAGGAGCAGCAGCGCATCCGTGCCTCCCTCCCCATCTTTCCGCCGTGCGACCGTCGGGGGAGAGCCATGAGCGTGCCTGCAGCCCTAGCCCAACTGGGAAGCCGCCACACCACTTGGGAGTGGCTTCAAGGCCGAAACCACGGGCGGGCAGTGTTCCGAGCGCCGCGACAGACTGCCGGCGGCAGTGAAGCTGACGTTGCTGGTTCACTCCGCTCGCTCGCACGCCATCTAGCTCGCCGTCACTCGACACTCCTGGCCCAGTGCTTGATAAAAATGGATTGTGCCCATCGACAGACGCAGACACTACAAAAATTGTGCTAAAAACATTTAAAAGACGTGAAAAAAGCTGCAAAACCCTGAATCACCGAAAAGTTGCAATGTTAATGTGACCGTGTGTGGGGGGCGGATCCAGGATTTCGTGAAGGGAGGGGAAGCGCTTCACTGGGGTGCCCCTTGTGACTTGGTATCCCCCCTCCCTCACAAAGAAGTACCCGGATTTAGACGACTCCATTTTCAAGTTCCTATCTGTAATCGGTAAAATACCTTCCGCTGGAATGGTCCGCCGGATTTGGTCGGCTGTTTTCTTGAGGTCAATATTCCTTTATGTTTTATGTTGAACTTGGAGATTGGTGAGCGCTTGGGATGCCCCTGAACTTTGGTGCGTTTTGAAAACAAAGCTATGTCGACCCGACATGCGGATTTTGGTGTCCCTTCGGCCCAAGGGGGAAGGGCCATGGTCCCACGCCCCCCCCCCCCTCTGGATCCGCCATTGACCGATGGAGAACATGACCATGAGCTCAGAAATACGGCTATGGCCTGTAATAAGGATCAGCAGTCTGAGCGTCCAGTCACACCCCTAAGAACGTGCGTCCTTCCCCCGATCATCAGAGCGTCGAGCTGCCTGCGAGGAGCTGACTGAGAACGTGCGCCCTTCCCCCGGTTATCAGAGCGTCGAACCGCCTGGGAGGAGCTGACTGAGAACGTGCGCCCTTCCCCCGGTCATCACAGCGTCGAACCGCCTGGGAGGAGCTGACTGAGAACGTGCGCCCTTCCCCCGGTCATCACAGCGTCGAACCACCTGGGAGGAGCTGACTGAGAACGTGCGCCCTTCCCCCGGTTATCACAGCGTCGAACCGCCTGGGAGGAGCTGACTGAGAACGTGCGCCCTTCCCCCGGTCATGAAAGCGTCGAACCACCTGGGAGGAGCTGACTGAGAACGTGCAGCCCTTTCCCCCGGTCATGAAAGCGTCGAACCACCTGGGAGGAGCTGACTGAGAACGTGCGCCCTTCCCCCGGTCATGAAAGCGTCGAACCACCTGGGAGGAGCTGACTGAGAACGTGCGCCCTTCCCCCGGTCATCACAGGTCGAACCGCCTGGGAGGAGCTGACTGAGAACGTGCACCCTTCCCCCGGTCATGAAAGCGTCGAACCACCTGGGAGGAGCTGACTGAGAACGTGCGCCCTTCCCCCGGTCATCACAGGTCGAACCGCCTGGGAGGAGCTGACCGATTTTCGATGGCATTTCGCTTGGCCACACATACCTTTCCTATTCATGAGCGATTAGGCTGCCCTTAATATCGCAGGCTTCACATGGTGGCCACTATGGAACGCACATACTTGCTGAATCCTGAAAGCCTGTGAAGCGCCGCGTGTCGGCCGCAGTGCGTAAAATCATGATATATGGCTCAGGAAACTGTCCGAAGAAGCCACTTGTTATCTTTGGCAACAACACTTCCTTAACCTTTCATATTGTGTCCCCTTCAGCCCAGAACACCCGGATGAGATCGGCAACGATATTTGATTTAAACTTATCATGCTTGCCTCACATTCATGCGATAAGGAGAAGCTTAGCAAACTCTAGCGAAAACGCGTAGTACGTCAAGCACATTAGTTTACCGATATCGTGTCTTGTGGCAGGAGCGTCATTTACTCTTCTCCTGCAATCATTCGAGAGAAGCAGCATTGGATCGACGGATGTTTTTGCTCGTTCCTGATAGGCCTTGCCAAAAACATGACGGCGATGGCAGTTGTCCTAGAAAGTAAAAGCCAGTTTAAGGCTTCTACGTGCCCACCATAACAATCGTGCACTGTTTACAAGAGTCTCCCGCTACGCTATGCCGAGAAACGAGGGCGCACTCCACCATTTGCACCGCCAAATGGCTGCCCTGCACGGCTGCGCCGGGACCAGCTCGGCATACAGCCAGCTAATACATATGAACGACGCAGTACAAGGGATTTCGCCGATCAACATCGCCGCTCTTTTTATCATTGCTCGGCTCCGCTTTCTAGTGCCAACGCCCGGCGTAAATTACAGCTACACGAACGGCATCGGTGCCGGCGGCACCCCTCCAGAAGGCGGAGCGGCGTGCGGGCGGCGCGGCACGTGCCAGACCGGTGCGGTCGCCCGGCGCGGGCCAGCCGCCCGCGCGCCAGCCTGCAGCTGACACCACCGGCACAAACAGCGTGCATACGCCGGGCCGGGTCGGGTGCGCCCGCCGCCGGCCGTCGCCGAAAAAGGTGGCCGCGGCGACCCGTCGGAGTCAGCCGGTAATTTACGGACGGCGCTCCACCCAGGCGATCGGACATGTACGGCGGCGACGCCTCGCTTCGCCGGCCGCGCCGCCGCCCCGTCGGCCGGGCCACTCCGTGAACGGCCGCGTCTCGGCGGCGGCTGGGGAGTCAACACGCGGCGGGTGGGGAGGACGGCACGCCGTCCGCCGCCGCCGCCGCCACTGAACGGGCGCGGGTCAACACGCGGCGGCGCGGAGCACCACCGCCCAGGGCGCGCCAGCCGGCCTCCGACAGGCCCGCTCAGGGCAGGCTGGGAGTGTTTATTCGTACCAGGAGCGCCCACCTGGGCCGCGTCACGGAGTGCCGGCTCGCTCCTTAAACGGCAACAGAGAGCGGCGGGCAGGCGGGTGCTGCTGAGCTGTCCACGGGCGCGCCCGTATTGGTCATGTCCTCTCTCGGGACAGCACAGGACTGCAGCCACCCCCTCTCAAGTGCTCTGAGAGACCAGCCAGCCGTCGCGGCGTCTGTCTGGCCGCTGGGCCGCGGTCAGTAGCGCTGTCGAGAGCAACACCGGCCGGCTGCCTGATAGCATCAGCGGACCAGGGCGTCGGCTCAAGACGGACGACCACCCCGCCCCCGCCTCCGCTTCCACCTGACGGCGTGGCGCGGCGAGCACACGCTTGCGCACACCAGCCCCTGACGAGCCGCCTGTCAGCCGCGAGAGCCGGAGACGAGGAAACGAGGGGAAGACAGGGAGAGAGGGTGTGAGAGAGAGAGAGAGAGAGAGAGAGAGAGAGAGAGAGAGAGAGAGAGAGAGAGAGAGAGAGAGAGAGAGAGAGAGAGAGAGAGAGAGAGAGAGAGAGAGAGAGAGAGAGAGAGAGAGAGAGAGAGAGAGAGAGAGAGAGAGAGAGAGAGAGAGAGAGAGAGAGAGAGAGAGAGAGAGAGAGAGAAAGAAAGAAAGAAAGAGGGTGCACAACCAGAGAAAGAGAGGATAGAAAAGGAGGGGAGAGGATCAGCACGGCCAGGAAGCAGCTCGCCGGCCACGAGTTACGAGTGTGCGTACGGCGCCGACGACAGCTGCACTCCGTCAGGACGGCCGGGCGCCGGCGGGAAAAACGTCTGGAGCCGCGGATCGGGACCGGATGACGCAGTGCTCAGCCACCGGGCGCAGCGGCAGCGCGTGTAACAAGACACCAGCCACACTCAGCCGACACTTTCTTTAGATGCGTTGAGGTACCGTTAGCGTAGTGGTTTAGGTACGCGTCTGGAAAACCAGGGGCACCGAGTTTGCTTCCCTGCCGTGTCCGCCCTGCCTGCCCAGGTGAGAGGCAGACCAAGCCTGTAGCCTAAGCAGCTGAGTGCGTCATAACTCCCCACTGATATTACGTGCGTTGAACACAAATGTATAAAGTATTCTGCACTGAAAGGATGGCGTGGTAGGAGAGGCCAATGTGCGCTTAAGCGAGCTAGCGACAAGTTCACGGGAAGGGTTGTGCGTGGCTCTCAAACTGCCGTTCTTCATTTGAGAACCGCACACGACATGTCTCATTCTAAGCCCCACCCAGTTTATGCGCATTGGGATTCGTGTAAAGATATAATGACAGAAAAGACTCCACACCTACAATGAAGCCGATGACCGGCATTGCATGCCATTTCTATTCGACGAAACTGCGTCTGATGTCCTCGTCGTGGATCGCTGTCCACGTGGCTCCTTCGCCAGCCTTTAACACTTCACCGGTGCGGCGCCACTCTTCACAAACACCTCGGCCATGTCACACTTGAGTGAGTGCCAAGCTCTCTTGTTTTTAAAGGCACCAGTATAACGAGCTGTCAAACCAACTCCGATGATGTATTACGTTTGGCAAGCGATGATCTTTGATAATAGACACAAGTCGACGCGAAAAGAAACACAGCTTGGACTTACCGGAGAGATCCAGCCGTTTTAGTGCTGACAAGCCGTCGAAAAGTTTTCCTTCTAAATTGATGATATCGTTGTCTCGCAAGAAGAGTTCACGAAGATTGGACAACATCACAAGCGACCCGTTCGGCAACGACTGCAGGAAGTTGTGACTGAGATCCAGGGACGTCAAGGCCTTCAGTCCGCTGAACCCTCTGGATGGAAGCGTCACTATGCGATTCGTATCTAGTCGCAGAGTGTTCAGTTTCCCCAGATTGGAAAAACTCCTGTCCCCTATCACGTCAATCTTGTTCTGACTGAGGTCCAAAACCCTCAAACTGTTCAGGCCCATCAAGGCCCCCGGTTCCACAGACGTGAAGTTATTCTGCGCGAGCGTCAGCTTGGTGAGGTTGGGCAGCACATCGATAAAGTTCTCGGTGAGCGCGCCGCTGAACATGTTCCTGTCCAGCGCCAGCTGCTGCAGGCCACCCAATCGGCCGAGCGCCCCCTGGCTCAGCTGATTCGAGTCCAGCCGATTGCCCTCCAGGCTCAGGCTAGTTAGGCTGGGCAGCGCCGCGAACGCGCCCGCCGCCAGCCGCCCGATCTCGTTGTCGGCTAGGTTGAGCTCGGTGAGACTCGGCAGCGGCGGCAGCTCGTCCTCCTCGACGGCGCGCAGGCGGTTACCGCTGAGATCGAGCCGCTCCAGCTGCGCCAGCGGCCGCAGCGCCTCGACGGGGACGCGCGCCAGCCGGTTCTCGCCGAGCCCGAGCGCCAGCAGCGAGCGCTCCAGCCCGGCCAGCAGGTCGTCCGGCAGCTGCTCGGCGTGTGAGCCGGACAGCAGCAGGCCGTGCAGGGCGGCGCCGCGGAACAGGCCGCCGGGCAGGCTCGGCAGGCCGCGCACCACCAGGTCGGCCAGCCTCAGGCGCGGGGCGGTCCGTCAGCCGGGCGGCCACGGCGCGCAGCTCGGCCTCGTCGGAGGTCAGGCAGCGGAGCGTGCGCTGGGCGTCGCAGCTGCACCCCTTGACGTCCTCGAGGCAGCCGGAGGCCGGCAGCGCCTGACAGCAGGGTCAGGGACACCACCGCCGGCAGCAACAGCCTGCGACAAACATAGCCTTCCGTTAGACGACGCACACAAATGGCTGGAGTAATATATACAGGGGAGGCACAATCTGCACACGACTCAGACACACGGATGACTCAGGCATGCGCGGTTCGGTCCGGCGTGCGTGTCTGCACGACAAATCTCACGCCCCGCACCGTCACTCGTTTCAATTAATTGCTGCTTTAGCGGCTGTCAGGAGGCCGCCGCGACCCTGAGGAACGGCGTCATCACGCGGACACGGGACGCCTTTTGTAGCTGGCCGGTGTGAATGCACGTTTGATGGCCAACCTCCGTCTTGGGCAGCCCGCTCCTTTTGTGGCCCGCTGAGAGGGTGAGGCTTTACTGGCCACGACAGGGGCGGCCGGCGCACGGCGCACGGCGCATTCACGGCTCGGGGTGGTCGCCACGGCGGCAACAAACGACTTCCTCCACCTTGACGTGGCGGCAGTGACCCTGTGCTCCGCGGCGGCTTGCAGTGGTGCAACAAAGAGCCGAGCGCACCGATAGGTTCACTAAGTGCCGAAGTGCCGGGTGCTGAGGTTTAGCCACACCGGAGTGCAGTGGCGGAAAATTGCCGGCAGAAAGGAAATAGCAGTTGGAGTTTTTTCCCGTATCTTTCTAGCGCGTAGCGTAAATGTAGGCACGCGTCACGCAGATGGCGGATATACAAGCCATCGCCTATGAGTCGCACTTCGCATAAGAATATGGTCAGCTATGAAAGTTCGTCAAGCACAAGCTTCACGTGGACCCATAGATTGGTGACAATGTTCTTACGGGACTTGCCGACTACCTCACTGGATCAAACTTCAGAATGCCTCATATAATTGTCCGCAGATGTCTTTCACCAATCCGCACGGAGGCGAGCTAGAGCCAACCATCGCCGACGCAGAGTTGCTTAATCAGCTTTCCACTCTATGTGGCGACCGCCGGTATGTCGACCACACGGCCAGGCCGCTTAACGAGCCGACCGCGAGACAGAGCCGCCGGCCTGCTCTCAGCTGCCGTCCATGAAATACCGCACCGGCGCCGGCGCCGCCGACTCTGCAGAACTCTCGTAACTTCGCTTGGCTTCGTCAGCCGAACAAAAGCGTCGGGGAGCCAGCTGCGGGTGGCGGGAGCGAGAGGGCGCGCTGCCGCACCACATCCGGTCCGGCGGCGGCCGCCTGTTCAATGTCGCCGGAAATCGTCGGCGACGCGGCGCGACCGTAAAGCCCGCGCCGCGGCCGGCTGGCGGCGCGTTACAGTGACGCAGCGGCCGCCGCCGGCCGCCACGCCGTGTGAGCACACATTAACGACCGTGTTATGGCGCCCCTCGGAAATAGTTCTGCAGGCCTGGCCTGGCGCGCGCCCGTCGCGCGTCCGCCTGTCGCCGCCGTAATTAACGAACGGGCGTGATGGATGTCCCGAGCTGGCATGCAGACGTCAAACGTCGCCGGCCGGGCCCCGCGCGCGCCCGGCCGGCGACTCAGGCCGGGCCGCTGGCGCCACTCGAGGGGTCACGAGGCCCCTCCTGCGTCTCTCCAGCGCCGGTCTCTGGACAGACCCAGTGGCTCGCAGACCGCCGGCAGCGAGAGCTCCGCACCAGGGCGCCTGCTCATCAGGTACCTAGCACGCCGCACGAGCCGCTCCTGTGTCCTACTGGAGGACTGTGCAGAACGCCCCGGTGTTCAAGTGCCCCAACTGCGGCCGAGGCCGCCCACCGGGGCGCCGCTACAGCCCCTGAAGCCCCCGGTTCAGCTGAGGACTCGGCCTCTCCAGAACGGGTGCCAGCCGACGCGTCGGTCGGCCTCTCCTTCACCCTGGAGGCCGGCCGTCCGGAGGCCGCCAACCGGCCCAACCGCCGGCCGGCCCACTAATCGAGTACTTAGCACAAATCGGCTTATCTCTGACGTGACAGCATAAAGCACGCGGAGGCGGCGGCGCCGGCCGGGCCGGGCCGGGCCGGGCCGGGCGCGCCGACCAGCGAACGGGAAGCCCGGCACACGACGCTCCGCCCTGCATGCCGCGCCGGTGGACCAGTCGGACTGTCAGTCGAAATGTTCGGCAGACCGCGAATCGGCGATTTGTCACGGTACAAATCGGAGTCCGATCTGGTGGCTACCACCACTACAGTGAATCACCTGGGAAAAGGCGAATTGGGAAGGAGAGCGGACTGCACCGACTGGGACAGGCCCCAGCACTGCGCTGCAGTAACTGTGGACACGATCCGCGCCACGTATCTAGGAGCGCAGGTGTGCGGCGCTCTAACCGACCTCGGCGTCCCAAGCCAAACAGCGCGGCTATCAGCGCGGTGGATCTGCTCCGGCCGGCGCGCCAGCGGCGCACGGGCAGCTAATGGCTGTGCGCGGCCGTCGTCGGCACCGCGGCCAATGGTGCGTGCGATGTGGTGACGGGCTGTCGACGCGCTGCAAGTCACGCCTGTTATTCCAGGCCGGCTGCGGCCGCCGCCGAGGAGGCTCGGCGCCGCTCTCGGCCGCCGCCGTGTTTACTCGGGCGCGCCGCTCCGGCCGGCCGGCGCCGGACGCGAGGCCGTGGCTCCCGCGTTTGCCGGGCCGAGCGGAGGATCCCGGCGGCCGGGTGCTGGGCGGCCGAACGACAGGATACCGAGGCTGCAGCTGAGAGGGACCGACCACAGACTGGGGCCGGAGAGGGAGGGCAAGACGCCGGCAGCGTCCTGACAAGGGGAGAAGAGTCGATAATTGGCGCTAGAGGAGAGCGCAGGGCATGAGTCGTCACCGCTTGGTATGGGTGGTCGCCGCGGGCCGGGTGGAAGGCAGAGTCCGGGAATGGCGCATGGAGGGCATGGCTTTGATGAACGGGGGCGTAGCGGACAAATGAAACGTGCATATATGTGTATATATGCATACACATAAATACACACACACACACACACACATATATATATATATATATATATATATATATATATAAATTTGCACACATGCAGGTATAACGGTATAAGCAGCACGACGCGGAGCAGTACGTCTGGTATTATCAGAGCCTTCGGCAGCGTGATCTGTCACTGGCGGATATCACTCGATACAAGCTTCAAACCTATCGATGCTAATTTTAGGTCATTTCTGTTTTGGCTGCCATCACTCCCCTGCGTCAATATCGCTGATGAAAAGCGATAAATCAGCGTCTTGATGTTCCTGACGTCAGGAGCTGCCACATATAAATTCCTCCCAAGTTTAAAATAGAAGGCGGGTCTGGTCGAGCGGCCGAAGAGAGCCTCCGCACTGCGAGCGCTCAGACAAGGCCCAGGGCGCCGGCAGCCGTCATGGGAATCTAGGACGCTGCTAACGACTACACAGTCACTCGTCGTCCTGCTGGGTAGCAAGGCACCAATTATACATGAGCGGTGACCTCCTCACTTGCTGAGTTATCGCTATCCGCTGGAGTGGACTGCGCTCCTGCACTGGCAAACTTTTATTTTCCGCGGACGAATAGCTAACAGCATGAAGATTAATCGTACCAGGCGGTAAAATATGGATATCCATAGGCTAGATGTATGCATAAATATGGGTAGCCTGGCAAATAAAGATGCATGGAAGATATCACATGGTGAAGTATGGCTATAGATCGTTAAGAATAGCTCGTTTATTTGCTTTTATCAACTTGACCTGCGGGTCACGCGCTTGAGCAGTAAGTGTAGATTGTTTGCTGAAGCCTGTGGTGAATTCCTGAAGCTGTGTCATTGCGTCGTTCAGCATTGTTTCCAGGAACCCCTGAAGCAGATATCCGCTAGACCATTGTGTCTTTATCCATCAAGCCACTTTCGTATTTCCTGCGGTCTGTTCGCTTCAGCTGTGTCTTCTTATGTTGTTAGTGATTGCCTTGTTCATGAAATGTTAACTGTACATCGTGCAGGCCTTATTTGATGAAAGGTTGTCATCAGGGTAATGAAAGAAAAATTGTCGGCGGTCTTGTGACAAAGTTTACCCAACATTAGATTTGGGAAAACTCGAGGCTTGATGGTGCATATATAGAGAATATGATACGTGCGCTAGCATCCGTATCCAGCAGTTTAAGCTACCTAACGCCGTATTTGAGTTGAAAGTGATCGTTAAACCCTATGCAAAGGTCATGAACCCCCAACCTTGTCGTAAAGCAGACGAAGCGAGTTTTTCCTTTTTTGGCTCTTTTCCGCTTCGACTTTCCCCCTCTGGCCCAACTGTACCATATACATGAGGACGTCCTACCGCTGAAAATTTGTAAATTTCTGTTCTTGGCCCTGCCCGACTTCCGTCATCATCGTCTCATATTCTGCACGCCCAGACCAGGCTTTCGTGACCTTTACATATAGCGTAACGGTCACTTTCAACTCACTTGCATCGTGCTGTCCCTATCAAGGCACCATGATCACGGCGACGCCCTAGCCGGATGTCACCTGCCACGGCGACGGCTTTAATCGCTGGATCACCATCACGGCGTTAACTTTACCCCATAGCATTATCAACGGCCATCACAGCGGCAGATCCCCACACCACATATTGAGCGGCGGCCTTCCCCAGCGACTCAGGTAATGCAGGCCGCGTGCCGGCGTTAGCAGCCAGCCTGCAGATCTGCGGGCAGCCCGCACCTATCCCTGGCGGAGGCGCTGCATACAGAGCAGGTCGGCAGAG